CAGGCTTTGGGATAAGATAAGGGCCTTCCTGGACTCAAACCATCTTGGCTGCCAATGAAGAAACAGAAAAAGAATGGTAATAATAATGAAATAAGTGAAATTAAATGGATGAATAGGTGAATTAATCAGAAAAGGAAGAGATGTGTGTGTGTGTATATATATATATATATATATATATATATATATATATATATGTGTGTGTGCATATACATATATATTTATTTATTTGACTATTTATCTATTTATTTATCTATTATACTTTTTTTTTTTGTCTTATAATAATAATGAGGAAACATTGAAGTATAGTTAAAGTTAAAGCCTTTTATTGTCATTATACACAGAGTATAACGAGATTCAGAGTGCAACTCTGTCCCGGTGTGCAAAAAATAAAAACACATACGTATATCTATATTAAGAAGCAAATCATGTAAATACAACGCCATATGAATACATAAAATGTAACTGACACTGTAATCCCCCTACCGCCCCACCCTTCATGTTATTGTCCTGTCCTATTTGTGATGTGTGTGAGCCATGTCCTTGTCCGTATGTCTTTGAAAATGTTTAATAAAATATAAATGTTAAAAAAAAGTACACAGTGAATTATTTCACAATGCTGGCTTGACTCTATAATGGCACAATATGATACAGTGTAAGAAAAGGGAGACATGTCACTTGTTAGAAACCTTTATCCAAAGGAGCAATTGGGGCTGAAGTGTCTTGCCCAGGGACACAACGACATGCTGACTGTAGTGGGGATAGAACCAGCTGATCTGATGATCAACACAGTATCCACTGAGCCACAGCCGGCAGGTTTACCATGTAGAGTCAATTAAACTAATCCAATTTGAGGTTAAGTTTCAAATAATTGTAATTTCTGATCAAGCTCTGAGGTTAACTGTTTCTTCAAACAGTTGTATTGGATTAGACACATGTTACCAGTGAATATTATACAAGTGTTATCTGATGCTCAGCATCATCTAAGTGCATTTTATATATTTTTTCCCTGGCAATCAATCTGCAAAAAACTATGCATCATCTATGTAGACATTTTTTTTTAGCCACAGTTTTCCTCTTCTTATGTGTGTAGGGAAGCAGGAATTACAATAATAATGTAATATTCTGACTAACCACAACACATATCAACATTATAAGAAAACTAGATGTTTTCAAGGCTTGCAGTTCATTCAATGCAATATCCTCGAGTGACGTGTCGTACAAATTAGGATAATTTATGCAGCTGCTGTGTCCATTTGTTCTGGATAATTATGAGCAAGTTATTAGTATTACAATGAGTTTGCTGTCCCTCAATCCCTCCAGTAGCACATGAGATGAGTTGCTGGAAAATCACAAAACTAGTGTAGGTGTGGGCCGGTGTTAATCAGCCACATCCGTTATACATTGCAACAATGGATTGTGACCCTGTGTCACCCACCTCTCATAGTCTACGTCAGAGGATAACATGTTGACCTGATAGTTTCAATCATTAGTTGAAGGCCCACATCTTCCTGACTACATTGTTCTGTAAAAGTATAGGCTTTAAATGGGCTTTCACATAACTTTGGTAATCATGCACTGCAAAGGAAAGAGAGAAGAAGAAGAAAAAGTACTTATTACTTACTTATTTGTTCTTAATATTCCTCTTAATAGATGCACCATTACACTAAGGCAAACTCATTAAGTGAAAGCTTACTTCGTAATAAACCTCACCCTGATTCTAACCTTAACCTTGTTCAACCTATTCTGGTCCATATTAGCTCAGGTAGATGTTAGCAGATGTGGCCTGTGGAAGGATGTTCCTCTGAACTGTCTGAAAACAGTGACTCATTTGTTTTCCGAATCCATTAAACAAAGCCCACACTTCCCTTCCTACGCCTTACGGGGGTTTCTGTTTTCCAAACACATAAGTGTTTACTTGCTGCAACAAGTTTAGAAAACAATGATCCAATGACAAATGAAGTAGGACCAACATGTAAACCAATAGCCTGTGTGACTCTTTGCTATAGTTTAACTAAAGAGTTGGACACCCACCACTTGCAACCAATGAGTCAGCATGGGTAATAGTTATATTCTCTACATCAAGATAAAGATGTGTTTATGCAAGAAGAGTACATATACAGCCAGGGCCGCCCCTCCCTACAGGCCAATCACGCAGGCTGCATGGGGCCCCGCCTTGCACAGGGGGCCCCGCCTTGCACAGGGGGCCCCGCCCAGAGGGCCTCAGCTGCTGTGCGCAGTTCTCCGCTCAGTTCTCCGCGCACCCCCCGCGAGAGTGAGAGTGCGGCGCACGCCGCTGTGTGAACGGGCCGTGAGAGGTGACAAGAGGAGCACGTTTGTAACCCGACACCGTTGCAAGTGCAGGTGAAGAGATGTCGGTGAAAAGACAGTTTCAGTCCGGCGCAAAAAACAAAACATGAAGAAACTAGCGCATCACTCGAAGGTGGGTTATTGTATGAGTCAAATGTACAACTTACGAATGTTGTATAAGTCAAATTGCCATCTTAAAACATCAGCTGCAATTCACGACATGAAGAAGGCAGTCTCTGCAGAGCATAGGCTAATGGAGATGTTATTTCCAGCATTCTTTATTTACCATTCATTCATTATGTGATGCCTTTTATCTGCTGATGTACAGGAGGAAGAGTGATACACTGTCTGTCTAGTTGGCTTACATAACAGTTAAAGTTTACAGCTTAAAAAACATGGAGCATTTGTTCCCCTCTTATTAATTTGTATGTCAATTTGCACATTTCATGGTGATGCTCAGCCTCTCCCCTTAACTCCTAACAGTCATCATCATGTCAACCACAACACAGATAAATACTGATAGAAATGTGTGTGTGTAGTTGTTGATACATTGCTGACAGAGGGAACTACAATACAGATTTAAGAAATATCAGTTTTTGAGCATGTCATAAGCATGTTTTGTCTTGACTATATTACAACTATATTATAATAAAACAATATAGTATTTTTATTATTGAATTGATTATGATTATCATTATTAGTAGAAGTAGTTTATTTGCATTAATTATGTTTTTATCTTTTTGAGGCTAGTATTTGGCAGGAAATGCAAAATTCACCTGTAAACCCATACTGAACGACATACATGCACATTTACCATTTACCTCACTGTATAAAAAAGTAACCGTTGATAATAATAATAAACAGGAATTATATTTGCAAAGTAGCCTACTTTGTTTCCAAAAAAAAAATGTTCACTCCTGTCGGTTGGGGGGGGGGGCCTCATCTCACAATGTCGCTTGGGGCCCCAAGTTGGCCAGGGGCGGCCCTGTATACAGCAGTAGCCTACCACTTGTAATGTTTCTGAATGTCTAGGTCAATGTTTACATTGGTCAGGTCATTTTTGGATAGGAATTGAACTGTGTTAATATGAGTAAAAATTAAATAAACAAACACAAAGGAACTTAACAACATAATTGCAGCTCACCATATGTGACAATCCAGAAGCTCCTTATAAAAGAGACATGTTCGCCTGTCTCCTACACATTACAATGAATTGACAGCAAAAGTTTGAAACAATTGTAAAGACAGTAAAACACAAAGGTTTCTGCTATGCTGCAGGAAGTACATCCGCCTCTTCATCAGGATGATCTAGGAGGAGGTGTATCTGTAGTGTCCTTTGCACAAACATCTGCAGATTCCCTGACAGCAGCTGGTGTGGCCTTTGAGCTAAAGTAACCCTTAAGTGTCTTTAGATTCTGTCGTGCACAGTAGCCTATAACTGTGAAACGTTTTCAAGCCCCATACAGAACCAAACCACAGGATTATTGGGGAACATAGCTGGACAAAAAAGGGTATAGTAAAGTCTACCTTAACTTGTGTCTACCTAAAACTTCAACCTGATTTCACATGTGACTGTGATGAAACATGAGGAGGTTACACAGTCATCAAAACCAGGAGGGAGGGTGGATAAAGTAAAGAGGGAGTGGATCAGTGGTGTAAATAGTGTAGTAGTCATACTTTTAAAGAGTACTTTTGCCCTCTGCTGGTCTGTACACATTCACACACTCACTCACTCACTCACTCACTCACTGTAATAAGAGATAATTGGTAAAGTATATTTGTTGAAAACCATACATGATCTAACCCTTGCCTAAAAGGGAGAGTTTAATAATAATCATAAGGAGTTATGAGTAGTCACTAATATTGGTGGTTATTAGAATAGAAAAACTGCTATTTTTGTGCTCTTTATGCTGTGGAACAAGAGTAGTGGACTGTGCAGTTTCATGGGCACATTTTTAAGACATCTCAATTCTTTATTTGATTTGTATGAATATTCAAATGACAAGCAGACTATTAATGTTTCTAATGAAATGAAATTGTAAATTTAATTTAATGAGAAACGCCAATGAATACAAAATATTTGGCTTAGTGCTTGTTGACATTTTGACCACTTATGCAATATGATTTGTAACTTTCTCTTGCCTACTTTTCTTAAAAGACACTAACATGTATGGTAATGAGGGCTAGAGGAATGCATTCGTCGCCTTTTATTTTGATGGTAGCCTATAGCTTAGCTATGGGAAAACGACAGCTGATAATCAAAATGATTAAACAGATAGCTAAATTGTCCTCTGGATCTATGCTACAACTGAATGCTTCAGTAAATACAATTCAAGGCATTGTGGCCATATTTAAATGTTCCAACATCTAAGTGTTAATGGAGATAACATCGAGTTGTATTTAATAGATGTGTAAAACAGCTGTAAGGCAGCAGGAAATCAGCTGGAATGTTCAGAGAACATTCTAGGAATTTCGGAATGTTCTGGTAAATGACATTGTGTGAGGTTTTTACAGGCTCAACGACATGATATTGATTTAAGTTGTCAAGGTATTTGCGATTTTATTTCTATATTTATGTTTCTTATATTTCCATACATGAGATTTACGTTACCGTTTATACATGTCTGACCAGCGGTTGCTTTGAATGGCGTCACGACTACAACGGACACCTGGATCTCTGATTGGTTCAGAGCTCTCATCCGGGTACTGCGCTAGAACGAGCCCATCAGCTAAAGGTACCAATATGGCGGAGGTAAGAGGGAAAACAGGGGAGAAGCAATCGATCTTAAGTCGATATTTTTAAATGTTGTGTACTGTATTTTTCATTTCTATGTTATCGATTGAAGAAACAATAGTTTTTGCCTTCTTTATAGCGTTTTTCGTGTCATAATGGTCATTTTAATTCCTCTTAAATATGCTTGAATGTCTCGACTGATCCTTCACTACAAGGCCGCTGCGCCTCGCTCAGCTGCTTTGGTGTAGCGGTTGTGTAAATTGATACGTAAAATGTACGTTAGCTTGTTGGTTAAAGGAAATAAACGATTATTTCGTGTTTGTTATGAATGGAAATACAGTTTTTCTATTTGGGCAAAATAAGCGGCACATGTATAGTAAAGACCTACCAACTATATCGATTGCCGGACCGAGCAAACGAAATGAGTGTTTACATGTTTCGATGCATAACGTTACCAGTCAGCTTTGGGGTTAGCTTGCCGGCTAGCTAACTGTTTCAGGAGCCGACACTGCGTAAATCATCATGTCCTTCTAAATAGGTTTCTCTATTTTGAACTCGGCTGTCTCGTACGAAACGAATTGTTTCAATTTCAGAGTAAAAAGGCATATTTTGCTCACAATTGCCCAGCGTTCAACCGCGGCTAACATTTTATTAGCCACCTATTTCAGGTAACGCTAGCGGTAAATGCCGCTCTTCTGACCTATTATTAACTCTCTTCGGTTTTCCTAATACAGTCTATAAAATGCAATCTTCATAATCTGGCTAATGGAATATCTCAGTGTAATATGTGGCATAATAGTTGATTCGTGTCTCAACTCGTTTTTTATTCTGGTTTTATTAATTTGCAGGCTTCCCTAGGGAGTTCAAGTCCAGGTAAGAACACCTCTGCCATAACAGTATACACATGTACTTAAGTTAATGTATCTATATTCTAAGGACACCACTTTGCATCCCATTGACAAAATAAGAAAATGGCTTTCACATTGATATGATGCTTTGCTAACTGTAATGCAGTAACTATGTGAATGTGTATTTTTAAGTATGCATCTTTAGTATAAAACCAGAGTATAAGTGGGAAGCATTCATGATTTTTTTTCTTCTTTCCCTCTCACTCAGTTGGCTCTTTATCGTCAGAGGACCATGACTTTGATCCAACAGCAGAAATGTTAGTTCATGAGTATGATGACGAGAGGACTCTGGAGGAGGAAGAGTCTCAGGAGGGAGGGAGGAATTTCAGCTCAGAGATTGCAGATCTTGAAAAGGTAAACTAATAATTCACCAAATGTATTAACACAGGATTTACCTATGTAAATATAACAGATTCTGTGATTTTTAAATAGTCAAATGTGTGTGCCAATATAAATATGTATGCATGAATAATGACACTGTTGTTACTGAAAAAAAGGGAAGCCATTGTAACAAAATGACATTTGGTTGTGGGACCTTAATGATGTTAAGAAAAAGCTGTATAATAAGTAGCTTCAGATTTAGCAAACAACAATATAGATCTAGTATATAGTGGAAACCAGAAGCTTTTTCAATTTGGAATGTTTTAGTTTTGATCACATAGGGAACATACAATAATGCTTTGCTTAACTTATAGTTATAAATACAATAAAGTATTAAGTACTAACTTGTCCTTTCTTGTTTCCACCAGGAGGGGAACATGCCTTTGGAGGAACTGTTGGCTATCTATCGCTATGAGGCCTCTGCGGGCTCCAGTATAGACAGCTCGTCTGGAGACCTCACTGATGAGCTGCCTGACATGACTCTAGATAAGGTGCATACTTGCTGTAGTTAATTCATTGTTTTTGAAAAATTATTAGATGTAATATGTATTTATCTTCAATTTATTTTTTAATATCCTTTACCCTTGGTCTGCCCCAGTATACAATGGATATGATTATTTTTTTCTAGGAGGAAATAGCTAAAGACCTGCTGTCCGGGGACTATGAGGAGGAGACCCAGTCCTCAGCTGACGATTTGACCCCCTCGGTCACCTCCCATGAGGCGACCGATTTCTTCCCAAGAACACTCAGATGTAAGTGGCATGTGCTGAACAATTATTTCTTGTCTGTATCTTTTCAGGATTACAATTTGTCATCCAATGCAATTCAATGCCATGCCATAACTACAAAATAAATTCAAACAACTACTATCTATTTAATGAAAAATAAATCATTTATTAATTCAGACCATTTAGTTCATTACTTCCCTTATCTTTTTGTCATTTAAATGTCAGAATAGAGTTTCACTCCACAGTTTCCTGAAGCCCACAAGGACGTCATAGGTTCTCTTGTAGTATCAGATCCTATTTCAATACTTAGAGATTCTCTGTTAACTTTAACATGAGACAAAGGAAGGCAACAAATCTTCACAATTCAGAAGCTGAACTAATTACAGTGGTATTTTATTTGAAAAATGTCAAACATGAATCAATTATTAAAATAGTTGCTGCTTAAATGTGATGTTATCTGACTTATTGTTAATTACAGTTTTATGTAGTTACTCAAATACAATCAAATATTTAAATACTTTTTTAATTTTAAATACCATTCTTTTTTTTAATAAAAATTGCTGGTAAAGAGTCATCTCTCGTTTGGGCAAATAATCCATATATATGTTAAATGTACAATTGATACCTTGAAATATTCACAATGAAAGTGCTGAGACCCCAGCGGTTTAGCCTTTTTGGTTAAGCTGCTTGAGTGCGATAAATATTTTTTTATAAAGATGCAATTAGTTTTCCGTCTAGTTGCCTAATAGACTAATTGTTTCAGCACTGGGACATATTTGTAAATGGTATAATAGTATGTGTATATATATTTACATATAATATATACTTTAAGCTTACCAAGAAATTAAGATGAAGTTGGTTAAGTTAGATTACATTTTCTTTAAATTATTATTATTACTATTATAGTACCAAAATGGACTCAACGTTTGGTTGGTAAATCCTTAGCACACATGTGGTGCCATTTAAATTCAGCAATGTCACGGTATTAATATGTTGTTTATTATTCCAACAGCCAATGCAATCTTTGATGGTGATAAAGAGTCAGAGTGTGATGAAGATGGCCCAAGTCCAGAGGACTCCAGAAAGGTAAATACAACTTTCTAACACATTAAGAGAGGAATACTGAAAGATTCATTAATGCTTAAGTTGAATAAACAATGGTTTGCTAAACATGCTCTGTATTGTCTTTTGTTGTATTTTTATCATAGGAAATAATGGTGGGAGCGCAGTACCAAGCAGAGGTTCCTTCTGGCCTCTGTCACTACAAAGATGGAGAGAAAGGTGACTGCTGCTCTTCTGTTTTCAACCATGTGCACAATGTTTCTCTACATACAAAAAGACGACATGATATGAACACGGTAACTAATCTTGCTGTAATGTACTTTGATACGCAGTTTATGAGGATGAAGACGAGTTATTGTGGAGGCCAGGTATATTGGCAGAAAACAAGGTTAGGACTTTCCTGTCAGACGTTTTGTCACGGACGTCAGATGAAAAGATGGGATGTGACAAACCATGGATGCATGTTCGAGATAATGAGCAGGTCAGTAATATATTTTCATGTTGTAACGCATGATGAGCATGGCAGTAGGAATGTTTGTGACTTCAGTGTTAGACTTTCATTCACAATCTACTGTAAAAATTCTGCTGTTCAAAAATATTTGTTCTTTAAGGTCCACCTTATTTATGTTTGCAATATAATATAGTGTTGACCTCTCCGCTTTTTCCACATAGGCTTTGTTTGAGCTTGTCAAGGTCAACTACAACACTCGCGAAGCACTAGAGAGACACTGCAGCCGTGTAAAGTCCTCAAAAGGTAAGCACAGGGAAGGATGTCCCAATGCATGTAAGAAGAATATTTCTGACACGTGAAAAGAAGAATTGATGTAAACTGCCACTATTGGCGAATCTTGTTTCCCAACGTTTTCATTATCTGTAAAGTAGCACCTGCAGACTTGTCTATTCTTTGCTCACCTTTTTCATATCCAACACATTTGCACTGGTTCTAAAGTAAAAGGAAGCATTAACTGACTGGCTATCGTGCAATGAGCTACACTGGCAATACATTTGATGCGGCAATTAAAACCCATCATGCAGAGGAACACACAGTATTGACAAATCCATATTGTTGTGCATGTCTGTACCCGTTGTGCTGTTTATAGAACCGTAAACCCAAATGGGAGAGTACTTATTATGTGTCCCTAATTTACTTAAGGAGAAGCAAAAGTTCCAGGACCACCTTTTGTGTCCAACAACAATCCAATACCTCGACATTGTTGCTCTAAAAAGAAAATGATGGGTTTCACAGATGTATTTTGGATTACAAGGCTGTTGTCTGTCATTAAATTGAACGATGTACAGGGGAAGGTACTTTTCATTGCAATGATTTGTATTATTATCTGTGTTTTACATTTTCTTGTCAGGATGTTTTGAATAACTAAGGATTGGTTTAACAAATGTCTGGTTTCATTTCAGAAAAATCCCCTCCATGGTCAGAAGAGGAATGCAAAAACTTTGAGCACGCACTACAGATGTATGACAAGAACTTTCACCTTATACAGAAACACAAAGTGAGCATTATTTCATGTTATTAGGTGATTTCCCTTCTACAAGCGCAAAAAGGTACATGTATATAGCTGGGATAGTTTCTCATGTCTGTCTCTCCCTCAGGTCGCAACACGAACCGTAGCTGAATGTGTGGCGTTTTACTACATGTGGAAGAAGTCGGAGCGCTTTGACTTCTTTGTGCAGCAGAATCGGTTTGGGAAGAAAAAGTACAGCAGCTATCCCGGCGTCACGTAAGTTTCATAATGAGTACATTGGTGTTTCATTACTTTATGTTTATGCTCATGTGTGATACAATGAGCTCTGAAGGAACGCACAGTTTACATGACCCTCTGTCTCCAGAGACCTGATGGACCGGCTGGTGGACGAGGCGGAGGGTCTGGCCGTGGACAGTTCCTCCTCGGTGTGTTCAGGAGCCGGTGGAGGAGGAAGGATGGAGAGCACCACCGACCAGCAGCTCAGCCTCCTCAACTCCATCACCGCCAGCGACCTCACAGGTCAGTCCTGGCACTTAGTGAAGCATACTACACCCTTGGACGTTTCTCCTGGTATACTGTAATCAGGGTTCGTACGGTCATTGAAAACCTGGAAAATTCATGGAATTCAAAATGCAAATTCCAGGCCCTGGAAAAGTTATGGAAAGCAATATTTTTCCCAAAGTTTTGGAAAAGTCATGGAAATGTAACTAAAGTTGCGTCAAATATAATTTACATTTGATCTAATCGCCGAAATAATCTGCGGTCGCGAGCTGTTATGTGCCATCATGACGCGCATGGTGTTATTTTTTAATATATGAAGCGCGAGCTGTGTGCTCGAGTCTTCCTGCCTGTCGGCTGAACTCTGCTGCTCCCGGATGAGGGTCAGCTACATTATCTACGGTGCGTTCGTTAACTGTGCGGAGTCACTGTGGCACAGACTGCACCGCTGGTGAACAGCTGTTAGAACGGGCCGTTCAGAGCAGAGCGGCAGAGCGTGATGTGAACTGAAACGTTTTTCTGTCGCAATATCATTTAAGGAATCGTTGAGCTAGCTAGCTAACGTTAGCTTTAGCCTTCGTTTTCTAATAGTTTTTTTCATAGGCTATAAACAGAGGTGGTATAAGTATAGATATTGTACTAGAGTAAAAGTAGAAGTACTCAGATCTTGTACTTAATAGAAGTAGAAGTACTCAAATCTTGTACTTGAATAAAAGTAGAAGTACTCAGATCTTGTACTTAATAGAAGTAGAAGTACTCAGATCTTGTACTTGAGTAAAAGTAGAAGTACTACTCAGGTCTTGTACTTGAGTAAAAGTAGAAGTACTACTCAGGTCTTGTACTTGAGTAAAAGTAGAAGTACTACTCAGGTCTTGTACTTGAGTAAAATTAGAAGTACTCAGATCTTGTACTTGAGTAAAAGTAGAAGTATAGTGTAGGAATACTCTGTTACAGTAAAAGTCCTGAATTCAAAATGTTCCTCAAGTGAAAGTAGAAAAGTATTCTCATCAAAATATAGTTAAAGACAGTAAAAGTCATTGTGCAGATTGGTCCATTTCAGAATAATATATATGATATGTTATATAATGATTGATCATTAAAGTGTTCTCAAAGCTGGTAAAGGTGCAGCTAGTTCGAATGACTTTGTATACTGCAGGGTAGCTTGTGAATTTACTCCAGGTGGAACTAAAGTCTGATTCAACACTTGATTATATTTCACATTATTCATCCACATCTGTAAAGTAACTAAAGGTACTACTAAATACATGTAGTGGAGTAGAAGTACACCATGTACCTCTGAACTGTAGAGTAGTAGAAGTACACGGTAGCAAAACATTGAATCTCAAAATTGTACCCACGTATAGTACTTGTTGAGTTTATGAACTTAGTTACTTTACACCAGTGGCTATACAGATAGAAAGACTAAGCCTTGCACAGAGCAGAGTCCTGCACGGGTCTGATTTTCAAGACCCGCACCCGCGACGTGCAATACCGAACCCGCCCCGCTACCCGCACATATTGCCAATTAGTTCCGCAAACCGACCCGACCTGTCGGCACAAGATCCGCAACCCGACCCGAACCCGCATAGCCTATATATGAGCAGTGAAAACGTGCAATTATTAACACACGCAGTTGCATATTTGTCTCAGAAAGCGTGGGATGTTGGTTATTTCCTCCATCTAGGATGACACCAAAAGCCTCCCAGACGTTGGATTTCGCTCTTGAGGAAGTGTTATTGAAAATGCTGTATTCTCCGCTAGAGAGCTTCACCTCAGCCATTTCGAATGTGGCGCGCACAGCAGCAGATTGATGCGCTGCAGAGGTTATGATTATGCGCGGTCCCGCGGGGGAGAGGTCTGAGGATTTTAAACATTAAACTAAATTATTATTATTTTAATATATTTATTATACAATACCCGCGACCCGACCCGCATCATCTTTGTTTTACCCAGAACCGAACCCGGAAAAAAGCGTTTGAAAAAATACCACCCGCGAATCACCTTTTTTGGGTGAAAATACATTTTCAAAATGCTCAACAGTGCTGCCAAAATTATAAACTGACTGCTACACAATTAAAATAAATGCTTTTATATATTTCTATTAGATGTGACTCTTTAGCGTTTCTGTTATTATTACCTGCTGCTTTAGTTGTTCTGACTGCTAAAATCCTCTGTTCCTCATTTTAAAGCCGATATTCCGTGGGGTCGGGGGCTCGGACCTTGTCACCTTTTTCATACCTGATGAGTTTGCCTCCCTGACTGCAGTTGCTTTAGCGTGTAGAAGCTAGTAAGCCTACTATTTGATTTGTTTTAGATAGGCACAACATGTTTCATATGCAGACCTTATTTTCCTGTTCCATGTTCAAATAAACACACCTAATAGTCCGCTCTCTGGTGAGCACCAGACCACAGTTTGTTACATTGTTTCATTTTTCAGAAGGTTCGGTTTGCATTCACACTGGCAAAACTCAAACGGACTATAAACTTTAAACACAAGTCATGTGCTCGGAAATGCTGTTCAACCATTGGTCAGACATTAAGGGGGTAAAAACACAAATCCCGGCAATTTCTAGCGGAGCCTCCGCCATGGAGCATGGGCACTTTCGGCAGGTTATTCTCATGCTGCTGTTAGTCTGGAGATCAGACACTAGCGGCCGCGCATATGATTATATAATCAGACAACGTCTGTTAAAAAACATTATTACATGGCTTTGTTGAATACTCGATTCTGATTGGTCAATTAAAAACACGTGACACGTTTTTAATCCAGAACAGACAGACCGCTGTCAAGGATTTATTGACCGTTGTTAAGGACGCTCACATCTGCACAAAGAAGTCTGTTCGATTTAACTGTATACAGTTTGGCTGAAACTAACTGACAAGACAAGAGCGACAAGAAAACAGCGGAGAAGTAACGGGCAGAAACCCTCCTTTTTACGCAGCGGTCCAGACATAGACATCAGACGGCGACACATAAGCCTATTCAGTTGCCAGTTACTTTGGCATTAGGGCAGGGATATCTAGATACTTTCCAAGGTTTGACATAATGAATGGTGCTACTTTTAAAGCAAGCAACGATATTTTCAAATCTGTAATCAAAAAGCTCCTCAAAAACACTATCGAAGCAGTTCCTGCCGTTGCTACGTTAGTTCAAACGGTAACAACGGACTATTTTTCTTAGCGCATGCATGTCAATTTAAATCAATACATATAACTATTTTTTAAATCAATAAAATCATTTTCTAAATCCACAAAAGCATTTCAATTAATATTGGGAGTCATGTCGTTACTTTGTTGAGAATGTGGCCATGTAATAAGCGGGATAATGTGCAGCGACTTGGTCATTATGGGGAAAAGAACACCTTCATGCCGATCTAGATCCCTCCGCTTCGCGTCGGGCTCCTGATCAGCCTGTCGGTGTTCTTTTCCCCATAATGACCGCGCTGCTGCACATTATCCATGAGAGACGTTCTGCAGAGGAGGGGCGTTTCACCGACGACAGGTGTTCTTACTTTTATGTAGCTGACGGAGAATTTTTACTTTACACGACACTGTTCAACACTTCATTCTGCTTTACTCTTTAAATGAACAACCGCGGATGTCTTGAAAGACTCTTTCGCTAAAGATTTTTGAAGATATCCGCGTTCTTGTGACACGTAAATACTGCGCTTCCTATGTTTTGGTGCGGACTGCGTTCAGACCAGCAATGAACCGCTCCAGAGTTCGCAAGCAAGCGCTCCGAGACCACCTATTTTAGCGGACCAGAGTCCGGTTGTTTAGTTCACTTAAGAGGTCTCGGACTGTGTTCACACCGACCCAAATGAACCGCACCAAGCGGCTAAACGCACCAGGGTTCGATTCAACCGGACTATACAAGGCAGGTGTGAACGCACCTTTAAAGTAGAAAATCTACAGTAGACCGAGAAGATGATACAAATTCTATAAACCCTGACAATAAAACACAATTGAAGGGCTTTAGACACTATATATAAAGCAGGAAAGTGATGACATTCTTCATACTATACTTTTAAAACAAAGTTGTATGACTGGAGTCGCTTCCAGTTCTTGATGGTAACTGAGTGTCCTGTCTTTTTGCAGCGTTGAGCAACACTGTAGCCACAGTGTGTAACCCAGCAGAGGTGGGCTGCATGGACTCCTACAGCTTCCCTCCACTGGAGAGTCTCCATCGTGGGTCCCTCAACCACGACGAATCCCTCGGGTTCCCTTCCAACGGTGCAGACCCAGACTGCCTCAACATGCTGGACGCCGGCTTCTACCACTCGGACTGCGAGCGGCCCTCCAAGAGACTCAAGATGGCCCTGCCTGACTCCTTTATCAATGACGTGTCTGTGGGTAACCTTGGTGTGGACTTCGAGACGCGGCGGACAACGACGCACCACCATCGAATCACCGGCGCGAAAATGGCAGTGTCCGTCACAGACTTTGGGAGCTTGGCTGGGAGCGGCGAGCCCAACGGCTTTCTGGGAGCACACGCACGGCACCACACACAGCACAGCGCAGCACTTCAGTCAGAGTGATCCTCATCCCTTGTTCTTGCCTTTTGAAACCCCTTATCCGCTTGTACATAAGACTGACCTCACTGGGGGATCTGATTTGTTTAAATTGTATTATATATATATCTATATATGTATATGAATATACTTTTTGTTTTCATTTTTTGTGTAATATGACATCAGTGATGTCTATCATATAGAACTAAAATCTTGATTTCTCTCAAGAGTTTATATAGCCATTTATTTTATTCTGGTTTTGTGGTCTTGAGATGCAACGTCCATGTACAGTGGGGCCCAGAGGCTGCAGTAGGAGAGCTGTGATTCTTCCTTCCTCACGTCTTCAGAGCTACAGTATGTTATCCTGCCATTCTTTACAGCTGCCAAAAACGGCTCAGTATTTAGTTGCTTGTCTTTGCTGTTTGAAGTGGTACTTTTTTTGTGTGTGTTTGGTTTACAGGTACATTTAGGTAACCAGGCTGGTGCAAATGGTTGTATTTGCCCCCGTATAAACCTGGCTAGATATTGTATGAAGAGCAACACTAGCATGGAGATTGGCTTGAGAGCAGGACGGTGGTGGCATCAGAATGTGTCTTTGTTTTTCTTTTCTCCTGTGGAAGCCTGTCTGCAGTTGGTCTGCTTGTTTACTCTGAAACTGTTTAAAGTGGCCAAACTGGAACATGTGCATGTTTGCAAAAGTTTTAAACAATATGTATATTTCCATTTAGTGAAACCTAATCCTTAGACCCTTATTCATTTCCAATTCCAACAGCTGATGGAGAATTCCTGTGCAGAGTAACATATTGGCACCTTGTTCTGCAGTTGGATATCAAGTTATTTTTGTAATCCTGCTTCTTCGTAGGAGTGTAACATTCAATCAATTAAACCAATGCAAAGATATTAGTTAATATCATTTAAAGGTGGATATCATCAGGCACTGTAATGTGTGTATTTATTACCATATACTTTAACTTTTTTGTGAGATTTGTTTAATCCTTTCACTCATGCTAGCTCTTCCTAGGCAACTGGACATGTTTTAGTTGTAGAAAAACATGTTGGATCAGCTCCTGAATCAAGTAATGCCATTTCAGACCACTGAGCAAGCTTGGGTAAACCTGCTAGCAGTATTATCTTTTTATTTAATTTAAAGCCACTCAGTTTTGTATTTAACCTCTGCCTAACCTGTACGGCCTAGAGAATGCCTTGTATAATCTAGCCGACAGTTTATTGGAGTTTAGTAGCAGAAATGGAGCTGTTGTCTCTTGACTGAAGTCCATAATTGTGAATTGTAAAATGTTTAGCAGGTCATTGTCGGTTGATTGGATGCAGTAGTAGTGTTTACTTAATTTATCTATGCATTGTGCTATGACTAATTAGTTTATTTCAGGGGTACATCATGTCCATAGATCTTGTTATCCACCATAATGTGTGTACAGACAGAATTCATGCTTCTAAACCATTACGTTTGATTATTTTTTAAACCCAGCATCAGAGGAGATATTCACATCTGTGTTTCATGTAAATAATTAGCAAATAGCCTTTAAAAGTCTATGAACTGACCTCTTAAACTTGTGAATCTTTGTTGATACAAAGGTTTTAATTTGATTCCTTGTCAAAAGGCAATAATTTGTAGATATGTACAGATATTATGGGTTTTGCATTTTACCAGTTGACTTGGTGTATGAATTAGTTTCTCCTTGGAGAGTCATGACCCCAGGACTCAGCTGATCCCACGCATGCCAGCTGTGTCTGTTCTCAAGTGTACCACTGAAACGGCTTTACCTGGACACGTATTGATATTATTCAATGTTTCAATTTTGCCTTCAAAACATTCAGCCATGTGTAAAAGACGGTCATCTCTCTTTACATCGAATTTTCCTCCTTTTTTTCAACATGTCGTCTATGTTTGTCTTTTTGGTAAAGGGATGGTCGCTGCTCAAAGTATGTGGAGAGCTAGTTTCTCTTTTAATGCAATGTGCATAATGCAGTAGGTCCTCCAAGCTCTTCTAGCTTTAGCAGTGCAGTGATATTTATTTCACCTGTGGTTTGTACAAAGACTCAGAAAAACTGTCAGAATGTAAAGGCCATTACGTAGTAGAAGTAGGTTTTTCAACTCCCTGTGAACTCTCAAATGTGATATTTTATTGATATCTCTGGCTTGAGACTTGTGTGTGCAAGAAAGCACTAACACATTTATTTTATATTTTGTATTGTGTTTTGAAGATTTAAAAAGGAAAAAAAGTATAGCAGTTGTGGTTTTCAAACAGAAAACTGAGTCCTTAGATAAAAACAAAAACACCTTTATGAATAAAAACCTACAAAACATAAAAATGTATATCCAGAAATATAGACAATCAAAAATTCACTAAGAGAAATGTTCGAGAAGCTATCTTTATTGTTTATAAGAATTGTACATAAACATTGAGTTGTTTTTTTCTTTTGTTAAACATTATTTTGTATTTTCTGTTGTACTTTAATACCTTGTGTACAGATCCAGAAATAAAGCTCTGGAAAAAGTTAAAAGATGATTGCTTGTTCTTTAATATTCCAAGAAGGTTTCACCAATAAGGAAGGATTGTTTCTGTAAAGAGTTCATTGTAAACATTCCAAACTGATATTGACAGTATGATATAGTTTTCTGAGCAACAGTACATTAGATGTAAGCCATGTGAATTGGTTGAAAGAAGATTCAAAATCACCCGAAAAGTGATCGTCTCCAGTCTCAGGACCAAACTGCATATTCTGTAGAAGCTAGTTGGTGCCGTGGGCGGGGATAATCAATATAAAAATGTACGTTAATTTGTTTCTCAATTAGTAACTACTAATTGAGAAACAAATGGTGTTCTGATGGTCTTCTGACAGGAATGGGAATAGTAAGAAAGTCCTCAGCCAGGGTCACTTCCACACCAGTGTCCTGTAGAGCGTCTTCCGCCTGTCTCTTGAGCTCTGAGACTTCGTCCTCGTCCCCTTCCTTCTGCAGAGAGCAGGGTTTGTACCTCTGGCTGAAGTGGTACAGCACCAGCCTCTGCACACAGCACGCCCGAGCCACTGCTGCTGCCATCCCAGGAGTACTGTGTCCGTGGTCCACGGCCTTCTCTCGGTGCTCGTCCCCGAGCGTGGCCTCGTGGACCAGAATGTCCGCTCCCTTGCACAACATCAGTGCTCCGTCACCAAGCACAGAGCTGCAGTCTCCGAAAATGCAAACTTTCCTCCCAGGAATGTCTCTTTCCAGCACCTCTTGAGGCAGAATGACACGCCCGTTCTCCATGGTTACAGCCTCACCAGCTTTCAGACGCCCATAATGAGGCCCTGGCTTCACTCCTGCGGCACACAAAAAATGAACAATCACAATAATCCATCATGCAAAATGTCACAGAAATGCAAAGGGAAAGAAGTCAGTATGAAAACACTCATATTTGGAAAGGTAGTTGTGGATTATCATGCAAAGGTGTAAACAAAATGGTTTCCAAGCACGGATAAAGACACGGAGCTCACTAACCTAGTTCCTTTAGGAGTTCCGTCTTCAGTCTTCCCGGTCGACCATGCTCCTGAATGCAAAAACCAAAGGAGGGGATGCGGTGGAACAACCTGAAGGCCTTGACCACAAACTTCTTGTCTTCAAAGAGGAAGTACGAGTCAGTGGAGACATCCAGCGAGATGGTCCTGCCCGGCTGCTCCTGTGGGTGCAGAGGACCGCTCTCCGCTGTCATCTAAAGACACAACACAAAACTTCAAAGATAAGACATGATTTGTATTGGTGAGGTAATGTTCTCTTATATGTTTGAATAAATAAATAAATGGAAACTAAGGTAAAAATAAGGCTAATTTCATTAGTTCACATTGGGACAAAGGTTTTAAATTATACATATTAACAATGCAAACTAATGTACATAAAGTATACATATGGACTTAATATACAACTTAATAAGGGGGCACTAAAGACAGGCCTCTTTTATATCATTAAGAAAAAATAAGGAAATATTATATAATATACTATTTTATTATTACTAATAACTAATATAGACATTATAAACTTAACACAAAAAGTAAGGAGATTTGTGTGTGGTAGATTATTTATTTGCTGTAACAAGGTTTCTTGGCAATACATCTACCGTTGGAAAGCCTGTTTTCTTACCTTTCAAATGGTGCCACATTTGTGAGGAACAAGCATTTGTGGGATGAGCAGCAGAGCTTAGTAGGTGGGTTGCGCCCATGAAAAATGTGACAAATCTCCTCTGCCAATGCCAAACAGCTCAACATGTGGAGGAACATTATGTTCAGAGCACTGGACCCTCAACATGTGGAGGAACATTATGTTCAGAGCACTGGACCCTCAACATGTGGAGGAACATTATGTTCAGAGCACTGGAACCTCAACATGTGAAGGAACATTATGTTCAGAGCACTGGAGCCTCAACATGTGGAGGAACATTATGTTCAGAGCACTGGAACCTCAACATGTGGAGGAACATTATGTTCAGAGCACTGGAGCCTCAACATGTGGAGGAACATTATGTTCAGAGCACTGGAGCCTCAACATGTGGAGGAACATTATGTTCAGAGCACAGGAACCTCAACATGTGGAGGAACATTATGTTCAGAGCACTGGAACCTCAACATGTGGAGGAACATTATGTTCAGAGCACTGGAGCCTCAACATGTGGAGGAACATTATGTTCAGAGCACTGGAACCTCAACATGTGGAGGAACATTATGTTCAGAGCACAGGAACCTCAACATGTGGAGGAACATTATGTTCAGAGCACTGGAGCCTCAACATGTGGAGGAACATTATGTTCAGAGCACTGGAGCCTCAACATGTGGAGGAACATTATGTTCAGAGCACAGGAACCTCAACATGTGGGAGGAACATTATGTTCAGAGCACTGGAACCTCAACATGTGGAGGAACATTATGTTCAGAGCACTGGAACCTCAACATGTGGAGGAACATTATGTTCAGAGCACAGGAACCTCAACATGTGGAGGAACATTATGTTCAGAGCACTGGAACCTCAACATGTGGAGGAACATTATGTTCAGAGCACTGGAACCTCAACATGTGGAGGAACATTATGTTCAGAGCACAGGAACCTCAACATGTGGAGGAACATTATGTTCAGAGCACAGGAACCTCAACATGTGGAGGAACATTATGTTCAGAGCACTGGAACCTCAACATGTGGAGGAACATTATGTTCAGAGCACTGGAACCTCAACATGTGGAGGAACATTATGTTCAGAGCACTGGAACCTCAACATGTGGAGGAATATTATGTTCAGCGATGAGCCCAGATTCTGCCTATGGCACTTGGACTGTAGGGTCACAGTGTGGAGAAGATGTGGAGAACACTTTGCTGATTGCTGCACCGATAGAGTAGGAGTGGAGAGGATGGGATGGCCTGACCTCAACCCCATTGAACACTTGTGGGATCAGCTTGGGCTGCTGTCAGAGTGACCAACACAACCACGTTGGCTGACTTGGGACAAATGCTGGTTGAAGAATGGGATGCCACAGCAGTGTGTGACCAGCATAAGGAGAGGCTGTTGTGGCTGTGTACTGTATGGTTCTTCCACATGCTACTGAGGCTGCTTGTTAAATGAATACATTGTTAATAAATAAATTGTTTCCAATATGTCTTGTTTCATCAGACTTTAATCATCCAATCTACTAAACAAGAGTCAACCGAAAAGAGCTGTTTGGCATTGGCAGAGGAGATTTGTCACATTTTTCACCGGCGCGCCCCACATACTCAGCTCGGCTATTCCTCCCACAAATGCATGTTCCTCACAAATGTGGCACCATTTGAAAGGTAAGAAAACAGACTTTCCAACTGTATAAGATTTACTTCCAAAAAGCATTGATACAACAAAGAAATAATCTACCAAACACAAATGTCCTTACTTTTTGTGTTAAGTATAAATATAGTGTATATTGAATGTGAGTTTTATTCAGTTTTGCACTATAGAACTATTAAAAAAGGCATGATTTATTATCAGTTAGAATAAAACCAAAATCAGCCACATACCTCCAGGCTGAGCTGTCCCTCCTCTGGACTCTGCTCAGCTGTGGGCTCCAGCTCATGTACTACAGAAAAATAAATGATTTATATAGGAGAAACACCTTTATATAGGAACAAATATACATATTTTAAAAAAAAGTTATTTCTTCTTTGGAAACAAATTAGGAACGAAGGCTGAAAAAGTGTTACAGTATTCCTAGAAAGACAAATAAACGTTAACATGAAAGCCAAAGCATAGATGTGGCTTGCCACTGATAACTCACAATCTGGTGACAACCACTTTAATTACTATGGTAGCGGTTCAAATCTGGACAAATGCATAGAAAGTGCAAATGCATAGAAAGTGCAACACATAGTTTACTCTGTTTGTGGTGAAACTCAGATAGCCAGTGTTTTTAGACTGCAGTAGGGCGGCCACATTAGAGGTCAGGTTGTTGTTTTTGGACATACCCGCATAAGGGAAAAGCAGCTGTGATCCTGTGAGTCCCAGTGTCACCCTTAAAAAGTGCCGGAGGCCCCGGGGCCCGTAGATGTCCACACAGTTCAGGTTTTGCTGCTCGGGGTTGGTGTTGAGGCTCACAGTGCAAAGGAGACCAGGCAGACCAAACAGGTGGTCCCCGTGCAGGTGGGAGATGAAAACCTTGGTGATCCGACCTGGGTAGAAACACGTGACAACATGACTTACAACAGGTACCTTAAGTGGAGAGAGCAGCGGACAGTTTGTCTAAAAAAGTTAGATTGGAAGTAGTATCATTGGATTCAAATGCAACAAAAAAAGAAGGCTAAAATGTCTTGTAATCCTCTCATCAGTGATTCATTGTTAAACAAAATATTCTAGATGACAGAATAATTTGTTATGTTGATCAGAGGATACATTTGCCTAAATTAAACTCAGTCTGGATTGCAAAAGCAAATTCATTGTGAAGCGTGAAGAGATTGGAATAAAAAAAGCCTTTGTCATAAAAGAAAGTCAAGACAGAATTGCACATCTTACTATACTATGAAAAATCTAAGGATTTAAAAGGTTCTTTGAAAATATAAATAATATGTATAGTTTATCCATCTCCCTAATCCTTAGAAACTTTGTAGTGAAAAAAGTCAGTGTACAAAATGACCAAATGTTTGTAAAAGTAGTAGTGATGAAAGTGTACAAGTATTACAGCTGCCAATGTTGTTGATTGTTATTTCATTTTAAAAATGGATATCCTTCATTGTATCCGATATGTTTTCTGAACTGTTGTGAAGTTAAGTCTTAGCTTTTTTTAAATGGAAAAGTATCAAGTTTCCATGACCATATGAGTTTAGTTTTTTGACCTTTTTCATGTGCTTGAATACGTTTCAAGTAGGCTACAGACGAGAATAATTCTAAAATATGTTGACTTAATTCAATTGTACTCCACATTTAGGAAGGAAGTATGAACTTTCAGAGAAGCTACAACTTGCGGGTGGTAGGTAAGTGTTACATTAAAAAAACACAGCATATTGTTTTGCAGCAGGACTGGGGGATCCAGGGACTCACTGGCTCGGAGCTGGCTCTTCATCAGCTGGGTCTGCGTCCCCTCCCCGCAGTCAAACAGCCAGCAGTCCCCCTCTGACCGCAGCACCAGAGCCGAGGCCCCGCGGTGAGGGGAGGGGTAGGCCGAGCCCGTCCCGAGGAACGTCATGTCCATGGTCATCCTCCAGCAGTGACCGGACAACAGGGGGAAACTGCCTACAACTGCATGCCATGAAACTGTAAACAACAGTCACACAGTGATGACGTACCCACGAGACGGTGCGGCGTTGTTGGGCCGTGTCTCATTTCTGAGATTCCCCTCCTCGACTCCTATCCTCATGTCTTAGTCCCGCCCACAGGAGATGCGAGTAGAGGGGAGCCGAGGAAAGAGGAGGGGAAACAGCAGGCGGTTAGAGAAATGAGAACTCCTCTCCTCTGAGCGGTCATATTAAAGAGACGTCCATTAATGATGACAGGAGACACAGCAGTCTGATGGACAGATGTGTTCATGATGACTTATATATTTACTTTGAACTCATTCACAGTGCGGTATAATGAGACAATAACAGTCTACAGATGCGGACACACACGCACATATATATATTTATATAAATATATACAATTTCAGAATCAAACAAGTATGAGAGCACTCTCATAATAACGTAACACCCCCCCCCTCTCTCTGGTCGCTACAATGAGGAAAATAAATTACGGGCCACAAGTTGTATTTACAAGTATTAAAAGTAAGCAGATGACACCAAACTAACTGAGACCTGTATGTCCGCTGCATCTACGCACAAACTACCACACACACCTACAGCTCCTAATCAGGATACAGCCGTTGTGTATTTTATTATGTGAAGCACTAATGGTTTTAGAAAAATATCGACTCTTTGTTTGTATATATCTACTAAACTAAAGCAAATAAAGAGAGTAGGCCTGTTATACTGAGTGCTATATGTGACTGTTGTGACAGGAGGTCTTCTCCCTCCGTATCGCTGCACGGCACTGTGCCATAGCTCTGTACTGTGCCATGCGCCTCCGCGCATTTGTCACTACTGGGCGGCGCCGGAAGTATAAATACAGGGGTGTGGTGTAGCTCGTGACTCACCTGTCAACTCCTTCGCTGGTGGCTGGAGGACTGCGGTGTGCCCTCCTGGCTTCTCTCTCTTCTTCCCGGACTGCAACCGGACAACATGTCCTTTTCTACTCTCTAATAAAGTACCCTTTTGCACCTTCCTTGCACCGCCTCTGACTCCCTATCTCTCGGCACTACAATACATAATTTTACTTGAATGCTACTTAATATAGATTTGAGATAAACCATAGCTATAATACCATGCCCGGCGCCGTGGGAGGGCCAGGCCCTTCCATTTGACATTCCTGCCCTCCCCCAATAAACACGTTATTTATTATTTATAAAAATTAAAAAAAATATATTTTTTATTTTTTAAATTATAAATAAACTGTGAACTTTTATGCTACGATGTATGTGATGTCAGAACAAACAAAAAAAATCGCAGGCTACGTCAAATAAATGCATGTGTCTGTGATTTGTGATTCGTCCCCATTTAGACCAATCACAGCGTCACACTCTGCCGCCTATTCTGGATTTGTTTATTGTGCATTCTGTAGACTCCCATTTCTGTTTGCATTACAAAATGGACATCAGAAATTGGCTCAAAAGGTCTAAGGATTTATTAAAACGAAATCGCGATGAAAGAACTGCAGCCGATGGTGCTGCTGGCGACCCTGCACCTGCCGTAGCAGCAGCACGCCTTAATGTCACAAGCTTGACCTCGGCAAACCCCGGGGCTGAGTTAGCGATGATCTGGGGTTAATAAACCCAAGCAGGTGAAGCTGGATCGTTATCCAGGGAGATTGTTTTCAGGAAAGAAGCGCACTTTTGCTGCTGCATGGTACACAACAGACCATGGCTTGAAGATTCGTTAAAAGCAGACGCAGCCTTTTGTTTCCCCTGTAGACAGTTTAAAGTAAATACGTCTTCATCTGATGCGGCTTTTACTGTCAAAGGTTTTTGCGACTGGAAACACGCATTAAAGACTGATAAAGGACTGCTAAGGCATGCCGCATCAAAAGAACACATTTCATGTGAGAATTTGTGGAGAGAGAGAGATACGCGAGGAAACAAATAAGGAAATGAGTACTTTGGTGCAGATCAGCTGGCACGGAGCCGTTATTACGTGTCAGCTGTCGCTTATATTATAGCTTTTTTAGCTGTCAACCTTGCTCGTGATTTACCAGTGTTTGTGCTGCCACGCACACAATGTTTCAAAGTGGTTGCTATGTTGCCCTTTATTTGTGTATGTTTGCGATAAGTGTGCGTCTTTACGCAATGCTGTTGGCCTTGCTGTTTGATATATATTGTGCCGCAGGCCCGCAGCGCGTGACGGTTTTGTGTGCCCTCCCATGAAAATCATAGGCCCTCCCTTTAGATTTGTTCTGGCGCCGGGTCTGTATAATACTGTAGTTGACCTACCTTATCATGCCCAATCAGATTGAAGTGATCCCACATCTCAGAACGACCTCTCTTCCTGGCTGGCTCCATAATGATCCAAACGCAATACTAACAACTCAACAGCAACAACTCTTTTTATTGGGTTCTTTTATTTGGGGTTAAGTACATTGCCAGAATAAGTGAGAAATGGATTTAACTTCTGTTAGACAGCTATCATACTGAATACATATTTACTGTGAATGTATGCAAAAATGTATGGCATAGGCTATGTGTAACAGAAGTTAAATCAATTTCTCACTTATTCTGGCAATGTACTTAACCCCAAATAAAAGAACCCAATAAAAAGAGTTGTTAAATAATGGTGAAGTCACGTCGTAATAACAATAACTCATCTCTCTCGGTTTTTTGAGTGTTCTTTTTGTGCTTTGCCAAACGCCACTGTGTCAAGTAACCTATTTGGGTTGCCGTATGTAGTTGTCCATCTCGCACATGCGCAGTACAGATCGGGTAGTGACAGTGACAATATTAAGTGTAAAGTCGAGTCTAAAAATGTAAAGTATGTAATAGAATATTAGGCCTACTAGGTAGAAAAAATATATGAAAAATTCATAGTGTATCGAAAAATATAAAAAAGGCATAGTATAGTATGTCCAAACATATGAAAACAAGTAATAAAATAGAATGTGACAAATGTCATGAAGAAAGTCATAGTATAGTTCTGTGAACATTTTTAAAACTCATATCATTATAAAAAAAATGTCCATACCGTAAAAAAATAGCAAATATATTTTGAGTATAGGGTAGCATCTCGAAAAAATATAAAACAAGTTATATAGTATTACTATGTTGAAAATATCGGGGGGGGGGGGTTAAATCTCAATAAAAAGTCTATATTCATAGTATAGTATGTTGCAAACTTCATGAAAAAAATCACGATATAGAAAAAAAAGGTATAGAGATCTTTTGTTTTGACTGGTGAGCCTTCACCCCGGCTTTGCGGCCCACTTACAAAAAAGGGTTTTAGCATTATAACATTCAAAGACTAAAACTGAAACAACATTGGTAAAACAGGCACTGCCTAAATCTTTATCAACACGGAAAACAATTGACAAAAGGATCACGTTTTAAAACTGTTTATTCTGCACATATTCTCTACGTACAAATGCTAAGGCAATAGTATTTTGTAACAAAAATAATCTTCAGAAACAGACTTGAAGGACACATCCCCTTAGTGCACACACTATATGGAAAAAGCGATTACATTTTTATTATGGGAACAACACGACTTGCATGAGGAAAACAACCACGAAACATACAAATTCATACTGGACGATTACAGTCAGTAACAACAGCTGGATGGACATAAGAGCAAACACTTGCTGAGGTTAAAATGGTTCTAATCATTTAATAAATGTGTTCACAACCTGAAGCTGCACAGTCTAAACCAGGGGTTCCCAAACTTTTCAGCCCACGACCCCCAAAATAACAGTGCCAGAGACTGGCGACCCCTGTCAAATTGGAAGTTGCACTAAATGATTTGATGTATATTCAGATGCAATTAGCCTACATAAAAGGCCTCAAATTGGAAGTGCTGTCTTTTTCGCTCAATTCTGCAATAGGTAGATCTCGCCTTTCACCTAGGCCGAGGTCGGGGCTCTTGGGCTTAAAAAGGTTGGTGACCATTGCTTTAAATCTTCTGTTTACCACTGCTTGTTATTTATTTAAATTAAATTAAGAGCTATATATTGAAATGAAAAACTAAGTAACTGAGATTGGTTTCCTTCTATTCAAGCACATTTCATTTTAAATCTGTATGCCAATGTCTTTTTATATTGGCTTGTTTTCGAATGGTTTGTTTTATGAACGGCACAAAAACCGTTAATATGAGCCTGGAAGTGTGTTGTTCAATATGTTCCAATGAGTGAAACACAATAACCTGCCGAAACACACGTGGACGCACTAAACAACTTTATAAAATGTGCCTTCAGTACACAATCGCAAACATTTCTGTCCAGTACACAAAATATATTTTAAGGGAAAATACTGTTTATCCAATTATTTAATACTGCAAATTGTTCACTTAAACATTTAGGGATAGTGATATTGAATATGTTAAGCCAAGCGTTGGTTTTTAGGGATAGATGCTTCTAAGCACAATTCATTAAAGGAGTGTTGATGTCAGGGTTTCTAATGAATATACAGCACATCTGAAAACATCCCTTGAAAATTAAATGTAATAAATTCAGAGAAATAAATACAATTTGACAAAAGCATTCAAACACATGACATGCTGGAGTGGACATTGGTTCCTTGGCTGTCTTCATAATACCATTGTTTGTTTCCCCTCCGTCGCTACTTGTTTCCACACAAAACCATGAATGCTAAGTGTGTTTATACATGGGTTAAGAAGGAATTTTGTAAACATATATCTAACACTGAGCAATGTTAGATCATTGAAGAGCTCAATCCATCGAAAAAGGCCATTTCCGTACTTTATGCCAATGTGTGCACTAATTGTAGCTATATTTAGGTAGCCGAATAGTCATAGTAGTGGGTAGTGCTCACCCAAGACCAACCCGAGTCAGAAGTTCAACAACAATTTCTCTGCCTCAAATAAGACTTGTCTTTAAATGAAATATGGAGTGTACCTTTCAAATGGGTAAAGATAATAATATTGTTTATTCTAACAATAGGGTAACTCTGTTTCAGGATAAAAATGACTGAGAAGAAACACAAAACAGATCATGGAGTCATTTCTAGTATCTTGTAAAGCCCATCTTGAGCTTAAGCGGAATATAGCATTTGGTGTTTTGGTTCCTTTTTGCAAGAGTGTATTAAAACCACAGAATGTTTCTTTATAATTTACTGTAATATAATTAATTTAGAGTTATTTCAGTTATTTTTGTTGTAAAACTGAGTATTGATCATTCAAATCTTTTCTGAGGTTTCAACAATTAAACCAGATTTCCACACTGCCTTTTCCTACCACCAGGTGGCCCTTCATGTGCTGGTTGCATGGGATACAGAGGTGATAAATAATTAGGATTCTAAGTTAAATAGTCCATTTCTGTTTAAATTTGTTCTTTCACTATACCTTTTTCACAGATCTAATCAGAATGATTTAGTGCACATGCAGTGATATGGTAGCACTACTTACTACTATCTGTTTTAATAAACAGATTTTTGACAAGATAATCATGATCCTCTCATAAGAACTGCGATGAAGAGTGAAGTGGAAAACTAAGGTGAGGGTTTGGTCTATTTCTCGTCAGTCTTGGGGCTGTAGCTGACACCTGGCCATTCGTAAGTGTCTGGCAGGAAGGAGTCGTAGTCGGTGTCCCACACAGTATCCCGTACAAAGCTCTCCTTGTCCACAGGCTCAGGGTAGCTAAACGCCATGCCTTTAGCATAGACAAACTCCACCACCTACAGAAAGAGAGAAGGTTTAGCATGGATGCTGGAAAACCTGACACAAAAAGAAAACACAGACATCGAAAGATAAACTGAGCACACGTTTTTGGACAACTTCGACCAAATTTGACTGGGAGGAAATACGTATCATGGCATCAAAATTCAAAGCGAAATAGCTTAATCTTACACATTATTACATTGTCAAGGTGTGGTGCAACGCATCCATGGATTTTAGAAATCAAATAATGATAAAAGAGTCTACATTTAGGCCAGAAGACTTTGGATTAAAAGGTTTATCAAGAGGTGAAACATTCAGATGAATGTTCAGGAGACTTGCCTTGACAGCCATCTGGAGAGAGACCTCTCTGATGTTGGAGAGCGGAGGATAGAGTCTGCCTTCTGCCAGCTCTTCATCGGTCAGCTGCTCTGCAAGGGTCTGGAAGGAGTTGAAAAACACTTTTAGGCTGAATATGAAAAACAAGACACACAAAAACCACTAATAACATTGTGCTTTTGAGTAAAACAACATTTGAATACAAATATATCAGAACAATTATAAAGGTTAATTCAGGTTACAGAAGTACTACTCATATTACAAACTTGCAAATAATAGTGTCTTATTCATGCAAATGATTTCAATATTGAATAATAAGTTCTAAGACAATGTGGTTTACATAAATATTGCATTTATCAATCTAAACAAGTGAAATGCAGCCAAGTGAAAAAGGGAGGAACACAGAAGGACAGAGGGCAAAGCTGGATCAGCCTTTTAAAAGTTAGATGTTAGTCTAGGAAAAGAGGGAACAGGAGACGTGAAAGGGTTAAAGAGGGTCTCTATAAGATCATACAGCGGATGCATACATGACAGAGTCAGCAAGAAAGAGCAGGGTGGGGGGTAAAGAACTTTACGAAGTTTGAAAAATAGAAAGGAGAAATACATAGCATTGACTTCAGACCTTGGCAGCCTCTAGGAACACGGTGTCACTGATGTGTCTCACTCCACTCAGGATCACAGCCAAGGCCACACCTGCAATCCACATTCAAAAGGTTTTCAAACAGAATACAAACACTCTTTGTAATGTAATGATGTTGTCCATAGTGCAAAGATGGTGAAAATACTAGGCTTTGTCCACTTCTCACACTGTATCTGAAAGTCAGTCTCATGTACATGGAATCACTCAGATAAAAAAGCATTTATTCACCTGGAAAGATGTAAGCGTTGTTCCCTTGTCCAGGAGTGATGACGCGCCCATCGCTCAGAGTCACTGGACCGAAAGGACTGCCACTAGCAAAAAGACATCTGCCCTGTGGGACCAAAAAACAAATTGGTATAGAGTGATAGTGGGAAAAAGAACAATAACAACATGAAACAAAGGAGAGGAAAGAGCCGTGTACATCAGTTAGTGTGTAGGCATCCTCTGCTGTGCACTCTGCTTTAGTGGTGGGGTTACTCAGGGCAAAGATGATTGGTCGGTCGTTCATAGTTCCCATGGCTTTGAGGACATCGTGAGTGAACAGACGGCCAGCTCCGGAAACACCTGGAAGGAATGGCAACATTATTTAAATATTAAAACAATTAATTAAAATGTTATTAAAACACAGTCATTAAAGAACCAAGTTAACAGAAAATACAAAACAGACTGGTATAAAATACAAGACAATGGTAAGAAACTAATTATTAGGTGATTTAAGAAAAGTCAGCGTAAAACAGAAATGTTGTCAGACCTGATCTAAAAGGCCTAAAAGTAGGAAGGAAGGAAGGAGAAATGTTTTTTTTATTCTATCATTTCCGCACAAGCTGAGGACGCATTTACATTGACAGAATGCTTTAATGATTGGATAAATAATAAAAAGCATAAATATAAAATATAGTTATTCAAATGACCCGATTAAATCTTGTGTTTTCATAAAACAGCATAATAAATAAGAGCATGCGAGATATTTTATTCTGGCTCAAACCTAAAAACCCATATTCCAAACAAGGTTTTAGTTACACAAATAAGAAGATGGGAAGTTCCTCACCAATAATAGCTGTGGGTTTGATGGTCTTGACGGCATCCAGGAAGCTCTGCACGGACCCTGGACTGTCATGGACAAACGCCTCCTGGTTAGTGTCCGTCTCCTCCTGTCGGCCCTGATTGCAACAATACATCAAAACAAAAGTAAACTCTTTGTTCACTAATTAAACAGTATACTAACAGTGAGCCAGACAAAAAGCCACACAGACAGGTAATGCATGTTCTGGTTGTTGATTTCTGCATCGCACAAACTAACCTTTACAAGTAAGCCATGTTTATCGAACAACCAGATCTTATTTCTGGCCTCATCTTGGGACATTCCCTTCTCCATCATCGCCATGACGATCAGATTGGCAATACCAAGTGCAGCCTAGGAAGGAAATTACCAAAGTGAAATACCCAAATTAAAGACAGTGTTTACAACATTAAACCATCACTTCTATTTGTTGACATATTCTTTCTTTATTGTTGTAAAAGAGGTTACACAAAAATGACGAATGGTGTTGTCGATGAAGAAAACTATCTCTGAGCTCAGTCAATTCAGTCATGTTTCTTCCCTTAATCCCAAGAAGATTCAGAGAGGTCCCCATTCTCTTTCAAAATTACAAGTCCTACCACCAATACAGTATCTACATTTCACTAAACTGTAGACATCAGATAGTAGATTTTTACAAATAAACAGAAGGACATTTATTCCCAACCCACTGTTATTATAGCCTTTCTAGCCAACATTACATAGATTCAAATGTTTCCTTGTACACTTTCAGAGAAACCTTTATAAAACAGCAGAAAAGCAGATCTCCACACCTGCTTTTTATGTACTTTTATTGCACTCCAACCATTTTTTTGCAATTAGGAGAATTTTCAGAAGCTTCTGTTTGAAAATGACTGTAAACATGTTCAAATATGTAAAAACTGTGAAATATTATGTTGCATCTCCCTTTATTGATTGCATAGCGTTATTTGGGAAGGCAAAAGCAGAATGTGTTTAAGCAGTGTACACCAATATTTGTAACAAAAGTGCAGATCTTTCAAAAATCTATGTCGTAATGCAGAATTAAAACAACAAGTAACAGAACCTATCAATATTTCCTTGAAATGTAATTGTCAACTTTGGCAATATTTTCTTTTAGTATTACCGGCTTTGGTCAGTAGGGGGCATCGTTGCACGTAAACATTGTTTTGATATATGGGACTTTCACATTAGAAATTGGAGAGGAAAAAGAGAAAAATGCCAAATTGACTAATAAATATTAATAAATATTATCATACCTCTCCAGCTCCCAAGAAAAGCACCCGATGTTCAGTGATGGGTTTGCCAATGGCTCTCTGAGCTGCCAACAGACCAGCAAGGGCTACAGCTGCAGTGCCTGAAAACATGCAAATAATCCAACAGTAAACAATAACATATCTGCTTTAAAGACAAACAATTAACCACTTTCTGTTTTCAGGTAGGAGGGCTCACAACAACTGAAATGTTGATTGAGTAGCTCAACGTTATGGCATTATAATAAAGTAGAACTCCTAAGTGCAGTATCTAGGGCCGAACCTTGGATGTCGTCGTTGAAGGTGCAGTACTTCTCCCTGTACTTCCTGAGGAAGCGGAAGGCATTGTGGTTCCCAAAGTCCTCAAACTGGATGAGTGTGCCCTGCCCGTATTTGTCCACCACAGCTTCCATGAACTCATCAATCAGATCATCGTAGACCTGAGAATTATCTCGCTCCTGGTACAGGCCCATGTACAGCGGGTCTTTGAGGAGAGTCTGATTGAAGGGAAAGAAGAAGCATATGAAGCATAATGGATGTCCAGACATACAATATACAGAAAACACACACATATCTGTCCTACCTTATTGTTGGTGCCAACGTCTATGGCCACAGGCAGGCATCTCTCAGGTCTAATGCCGGCGCAGGCTGTGTACAGGCAGAGTTTTCCAACTGGGATGCCCATTCCATAAACACCCAGGTCCCCTAGTCCTAAAATACGCTCTCCATCAGTAACCACTACCGCCTAGATCAAGAGGCAGGTGGAAAAGAAGTACATTAGTCAGCAAAATCCCAGATATCACACAGATGTAAACAACAGGAAACTGGACCTTGGCCAGGTGAATGTAGGCAATGTCTATAACTCTGATTTATATCAACTTAAAGTCGTGTAGCCACAATTCATTTTCACAATTCATTTTTTTTTTTTTAAATCCTTTGTCTGCATGCTTTTGAGGGATGAAATGAAATGAAAACTTTATTACAGACTCAGGGTCCAGATAAAAGACAAGGCATTACATATAATAAATTACATACACAGCGTAAAAAGAATTCATAGCTTAAGAATAATTGAAATCAGTGTCCTACAAAGAGACAACTATACCAATGTCTCCACAGCTGCGATTGGTAGCGTGTAGTACTATACCTTATGTTCGATAAGGCCAAGAGGATTTCATTATCAGAGTCATTAAGCCGGCAAATACATTTATACATAAGATTTCTTAAAACAGCTTGTAGAGTATTGACTCCTGCAGCCACAAACATTTCACTTGCACTAGACCATCGAGGTCTCTTCAGCAATATTCTCATGGCATCATTATAAGCTACTTGGAGTTTCCGTAAACTTGCTTTTCTGTAGTTTGACCACCGATGAAGGTTCCTAGTAGACTCATTTAAACAGTATTATAGACATCAGCTTCAGTTAGACGAGGTGTTACTGTGGTGATGTTCTCAGCTACTCACTGCAACATCAGTCTCTGGCCAATTGTCTAGGATGGAACGAATGTGTCCTTTGTCCCGAATGGAGATAAACAAACCTCTGGTGAGAGAAAAAAGCCAATGAGTAATGTCAAGATTCTATTCACTAAAAAATAAAAACAAACAACAATAATATCCTCAAAATGATTTCAGTCAGGGTGTTGACACAAACACAACCACCATCATTTAAAAAAAGTCAACAGCTCATGTAACACACTGTTATATAAAGATGTTTATACATTATATAAAGCCACCAGATGAAAACCTACATAAAAGGCTTAGACTGTCAGAACAAAAATCCTTGTGTTTTTTGTGTTGTTTTCTCTTTCAGTAGTCAGTTATTGAAAGCTTCACTGCATGCTTACTTGGGTCGTCTGAAGATGTGTCCATAATGTGTGCAGGCCAGGCCTACAGTGGGAGTGTAAACTATTGGCATCAGTTCCTCGATGTCTTCCATCAGCACCCTGTAGAAAAGCCTCTCATTTCTTTCCTGGATGCCCATCAAGTAGATGTACCTTTGTGGAAAAGGAGAAACAATGTAAAGAGAAAGAAAAGTTCAACTGTATGGAAGGAGATGTTTCAGACAAACATCATTAATAACCAACAGAATACTGTGGGTATGTGTTCCAGTACTTTAAGATATGTCCTTACTTCTGCAGGGGATCAGTCATGTTCTTGAGATTATTCTGAAAGCGCATGGCCTGAATGTCCTGAGTCTCCACTTTGGGAGGCAGCAGACCATGTATCCCCAAAATCTGTCGCTCCTGGAGAGTGAAGGCCATGCCCTGCAGAAACACACAGAAAGCAACTGGAAATGAGTAGGGAGACAAAGAGAATGTGAATAAAACAACCACTCAGAGAATAACTTTATGACAAGTTACCTTTAACGGGCAGGATTGTTCATAAACTGTGGTTGTGAAAATTGTAAAAGATAGCCTGTTTGGATGTTTTGTTTTCTCTGAGCTTCTAAACTCTTCTTGTGCAGAAGCATGTTTGCGCTCCTAGTATTTCTAATTCAGTTTACTTCACATAGTTGCTTGAATTTAATGATGGTATTTGGTACTATGCATATTCACTTACAGGATATGACTAATAATAACAGATATGACTGAAATGCACTCAGTTAGAAAATTGAAGAAGATTGGTTCATCCTTTGAAAGTTGTCTCTTAGCATTGCTGCAGGAGAGGGTATTACCCATGAGCCCTCAGAGGAGGGTGACCACTTGACCATTTGACCTTTTACAGTAAAGTGAAATGTGGAAGCCAGATGAAAGCATTTTGCAGTAGGGGAAAGGAGGCTAAAGGGGTAAGAGAGGGGAGTAGGCTCAAAGAAGCCAATAAGGAGGACCCTGGGCAGAAACACCCCAAGTGCTGTATAGAGGAGATGATGTGGAGGAGGGGTACAACGTGTTTCATGATCCTGCAGTGTATGTAAGCCTGTATGTAGGTTTACGAACCCAACTCTGAATGATATATGTGCATAACATTTGGAGGCCCTCACATCTGTGGCAGGGGCTGATTATTCTGTGATGAATGCTGAGGGCTCCCCTGGCAAAGTGCTGAGTCATGCTGATGGAGGATTTCACTTCCCTCAGCTCCAGTACTCAGTTCCTCCCAACAGAATCCAGCAAGCTGCAAACCTCTGATATCTCCCATCTCCATTTTTACATAGAAATGTTCCCTCAGATTAGTTTTTTCCAAATTGCGGTTTAACATTTATTTTGAGTATGTCAAGTGATTTAAACCCGTTAAAAAAAGAGGAATTTCCTAAAAACGCGTATTTGTATTGTGTTGATATGTGTTTCTCATTTTATCTATACATTGGACATGACATTGGTTTCAATATTCATTTGATTTATGCAAGTAAAACACTTTTGATTTGTTAATAACATTTAAGAAATGTGAGATCATATATATATATCATCTTAGAGACTAGATTGTACCATCTGGTGTAAGTTTGCTGACAGTGTAATGTAATGAACAATGCATGTCTGCAACACTGTGACCTTTGCTGTTGAGGTATGATGAGTCATGACAGTCATGACAGTCACAGTAATTCAGTCTGCTGATGCCAGTCACTTCTAATCTGGCAACACTTCCTATGAGAAACCAGCCGTTGCCATTTTTGTCTTGTTTCATGCTATTTTCAGTGTTTTTAAATATAAGACACAATAAACTCAGTGACTTTTCATACTATTAAAAAATCCACAATCTGCTCAAATAGATAAAAGGAACACAATGAGGAAGGCCAGAAGTGCATTGTGAAATAAAGGTGCTGTGAGTACAGTATTTGTAACAGCCAGTTAACCTCTGACCAGTATTTTTATATTTAGCACAACATGTGTAGTGTAGGCCGTAACTTCAAGCAGCTACAGCCTCATGTTTCAAATGTCATTTGTAGCTTACAGTAACCTGACGAGACACCCAGTCAAACTATTCACATCCTCTATCAACAATATGACACACCGTTTTCAATTGAAGTCCCCACCTTGCAAAAGGAATGCAAAAGTGACACCCCTGTGAGGTGTGGTTACGTGGTTGTATAGCACATGTTAAACACAAGGCAGTTTGCAGCTCTTTACACCAGGGTTAGCACATTGTTTAAAAAAGCAGAGAGAAGTCAAATAAAGACAAAAGGAAAAATAGACATACATAATCAAACTATTTAAAACACACTACTTTTAAAAAGCATTTGCAGTTCAGAAAATAAGACCCCAAACTTAATAATAAGCAATTGCACAAAAAAAGTGTTCAAACTTGATTCAAAAGACATTTCTGACCACATCGAGCAGTGATACTGGGTTCAGTCAGAGATCCAGCAGAGGTCAAAAGTGATATGAATGTGTTTCTGACTTTAAACAAGCTACACTCCACCTGATGTGACAAAATGCCAAAATTGCACTGTCAGATTATCTCAGCAATTCTAGTTTAGTAAAGGTGTCTGAGAATTAGCGTTTTCAACCTAATAAGATTTTAGGTTTATGAAAACGGTGATTAGTTTGGAAGCTATCTAGAAATATATATTTTCAGTATAAAGTACAGTGGCTTTGAAAAGTGTAATATTCAAATATCAATTACTGTAGTTTTGCAGTGAGCTGTCTAAAGTCTGTCACGCCGGGCAAAGTCCAACTGCAGAAAATGAACAGCAGCCAACCAGCTGCTGAAAAAGCATCGGCACTGATGGGCAAGTTGTTCTAGTTCTAAGCAGAACCAACCACTGGCTCAGGGATGAGATGAACTGATGCAGTGCTTGACAGGACTTTATAATGTCATGTTGTCCGCGTGTTAAACAATTCATGTGGTGGTTGCATAATACTCACTTTTTAAAGCAGCTTTGTATATGATCATGGTTTGCACTACATTTGTTGGTATTTCTGTATTTCATTAGCAAAGATTATTCTGAAACTCACCCAATTATTTCCCACCAGGGCAGCTTATGACATGTTAATAATGCTGTTTAACCACCATGTGCTTTTTGACACATTGTCAGTAATCCACTCACTTTGTTGGTGCGAGGGTTGAGCATGAGGGGCTTGCCCTTATCTTTGGTGTGTGCCCATCTGCAAACAGAGACACAGGGCCTCAGGGACCAGGTTGTCTTCAACCTGGACAACATGGTGGACTGTCACTGGTCTGGAAGGTCCACTGGGGAAAAGCTGGAGAAAAAAATGAAAGAGAAACAAAGTCAACAAAATAACCTAAAGTTTCGTTATCTTTCGACATCGGAGCAAAAACAATGGATATGTATGTTGGCCATAATAGGTAGCTGTTCTGGGATGCTGAATAATACTAAGAAGTCTCTTATTTATGTTTGTTCAGTTGTAGTTTATTCTTATTTCAAAAAATCCAATCATGAATTATTAAGCTTGCAGTCTGAGTTCATGTGAATCATTTCTCTAGTGTCATTGGGTTGTTCAAATGATTGCTTGAACTACTCTTCCTTCTGCCAATCAGGACAGGAAGTGCAATGCTGCCACAACCTTTGAACATATGACATCATTAGACTTTATGCTACCATGACAGTAAGTTATCCCACTGACGCACAATAAATCCCAGAAGCCTTTGAACGAACACTCGATGATTAGAAATGCAGACAGCAGCATCATTAATCTGGGTGTAGAGAGAAGTGATTTAGTGCGTCGTCTGACAAACAAAGCCTTGAAAGATTGTCATAATCCTTTTCGCACAGAGCTCCACATGAAGAGAGAAAACAAGTTAGAGTAAATCAAGATGACATAAGTCGACAGATAGGAAAGACAGGCTGATATAAGTATCACAAGAAAACCACTAACAAATCACACAGAAAATATGTGCCATTTTCAGAGCATTTTCAGAATAAGTCATGTCTTTTATTTTGGGAGAGAAGATAAAACAAGCTCAAAAAGCTTTCCTACCAAACAACCTTTACTCAAGGGCCCCTACCCTACTGTCAGCTGCTGTTGGTGGCCTGGAATAGTCTTTGTGAGAGTTATGTCATGCATGTGACCTGTGATTCGAAGTAATGCTGTCTTGTGCTGCGTTGTTGTGGGTGCAGAAAAAGGCCACATAAAGGTTCTCAGAAAAACCTCTCTAAGTTACAATTGAGAGTGGATTCCCCCTCATGATAAATATCGTGCCAAAGGGTTGTATCCCGACTGAACCCAGAAAGTAAATGTTGCTTTTCCACCAAACATGCAGAGTTAATGGCCTAAAAAAGTACTACGCAATCTTGTGCCTTAAATGTGAATGTAAAAAAGGGCATATTGTTTAAGCGTCCTGATATTACAGAGATGAAGCCAGAATAATATCTTAATCCAACCTTCTGAATTCTGCTCTGGTGTATTTTATTTTCAATCCCAAAATACTTTTGGCGTCAAGACATGACCCAGAGGAAATGCAACTGGACCTGTAAGCAAGTTATGTGTGCAACAACGACACGAGCATTTTCACAGCACGCACAGTTTCTATTTTAGTTCCCTGAAAGTGCTGAGACCAGAATGCTGAAAGAGGTATTCCTTTAAATTACAAGATAGATGTTAGAGTCAGCTGTTACAAAAACAATCTCAAATTAAATATAATTTTAACCTATAGGCCGATTAAACAGGGGAAAGAGCTGGCTCCTTTGAATGACTTCACGGCCTGGACCACATGCAGCTGAGCTCAGGTGGCAGAAATCGCATCTGATAACTCATTCACACCAACGCAACTCCGGTTCAAGCTCCGTGCTAGAGCTTTTCAGGTTCAGAACCGGTTCTTCGGTTTAGCTCCGGCTCTTTTCACACCGCCCAGAGTCCGACTGGTGCTGCGTCATTGCGTCATGACGTAACCGTTTGCGTGCCTGCTTCATAAAGCCAAACCGCACGGAAACCCCTCACAGCTCACAACAACAACAACAACAACAACAATGACCGATTGTGCTCCAGCTTCCTCTGTACCTCTTCGGAAGACCAGATTCCCAGTAGGTAGCTGGTCTCTTCAGTGGACCACTGCTGCTTGTTAAGTTTCTCCATCATTGTGTACAAACTGGATAAACGCCGGCTTCTTGTTGTTGTTCAGGAGTTGATCTGCCCCTGCCCCCGCCTCGACGTAAGCGTGACGTCTGCGGTGCTTTTGCTCTGGCCGGACAATTTTTTGGTGCTTGAAACGAACCGGATTCCGGAGCTAAGAGGCTGCTCCGCTGCGGTGTGAACAGGAAAACCCGGTGCTTTTCAAGCTCCAGCTCCGAACCGGCCCTGAAACACCGTTGGTGTGAATGAAGTATATGAGCCAGTTATTGTAACAGCCATCTGTGCTGTCAACATTTGCATACCCCTGCTCCATTCATCACTACACTTACTTTCAACTGTCCACCCATGTTATTATAGTAATAATCACCCTCATAAGGAAATATGAATGGAGATAAACAAATAGATCTCAAAATGCATTCAAACAAGATACCACTCACATGCTCCATCAAGTAGCGCTTGCAACAATTATATAAAAGTCCCTGCTTAGTGCGTTCAATCACGATATGCTATTATACTTTCGATAAGCAACCTTTTTAGTTTATAAATTATGTTTATAGTAAAATGCATAAAAATGCATAAACATTTGATGGCAACCATGGATCTACTTTTCCATCAGCCTGTATTTCTTGTTAAAGAACAGATTCAGAGTTAACACTGTGGTCTGATTCTGTTTCCCTCGCTTTGACCAACATGACTCATTTAACACATCACTACAACAACTACATATCCAGAAAACATCAACTAGCCAGCATCAAAGTCAGAGCCAAAGTGTCAGACTGTATCAGCAGCACCCACAATAATTGGACATTTGAGTGCTCTGATGATTTGATATTCAAATTGAAGCAGCCTTGATGCAGCCTCTATGAATTACAGTCTTTGTGTTGTACAAAATAATATTGTATGGTTGTTCACATTTATTTTAGCTTTCTGCCTGTTCATAGAATGCCTGAACACTTGGTGAAGGGACTTGATCAGCATGTCAGCTCCAAAGGAATCAAACATGCTCAGATTGTCTGTAAATGTGTTTTCTACTTTGTGTCAGAACAGAAACTGTCATGAGCTTTGTATTAATGTGAGTGCAACTACTGTACATGACCTACTGCGACACCTGACTCGATAAACTAGTGTTTGGTTAGAAATGTTTAACCCAATGCTACACAAATCGCATTAAAGCTTGCGATTATTATTTCTTGAAAATATGTGTGCAAACAATGTGAATTGACTTAGTAGGAACAATGTAATCAAACCCACACACATGCTTTCAAGTATTGACCTTCTATGGTTTCAGAGGGGAATTTTACAAGGACCAGAGTACACTTGTATGAAAGCAAAAGCAACATTAATATGGTTGCCTAAGAAATTCTTAGTCGACTTGTGTAATAATCAACTAGCTGATTTATTGAACGTTTTCTCCAAAAATAATCAAGCATTAGTACATTTTAAATGGTGTGTTTAACAGAGATGTTCTATTAAGTTTATTGGAAATAAGTTATTCAGCCTTAAAATAACTTAATGATCAACTAAAGATATCTGAGTGGACTAAGACCAAAAAGGCCCATTAGTATATTAACTGGTTTAGAGGGGCATCCCAAAATATTAGTGTATGAGTACAACTATGTCTTAAATAGTAATTGCAGAATTAGGCATTAGCCTAGTGACAGCTGGGTATAGTTTTACTGACAGGTGTTTTTATTATTCCCTCCACAACTTCAGATCTTGTTTCTCCTTTTGTGAAAGTGTCGGGCCATGATGAACATGCTGCTGTGCTAATGTTGTACATGTGTTTTTAACCACAGCAACATGTGTCGCAACATCGGCTATCCTTGTTCTTAATGTGCCTAATGTAAAAACTGATACAATAAAATAGATATGTATCCCTCACTGTTCCTACTTCCCTATTCTGTCAGAGGTGGAAATGGAGATAATGAATTATATCTGCTTAGTGTGAGCATATTACTAAGTTTACATAGAAAAGTCTAATGGAAATGTTATAAAAACTGAATCTCACTACAGTGGTAAACTAACCTGGTATTTAGCCTAGCAATTTCAGCCAGATACAAACATGAAGCTAACAACTGCTACAAGCTAAAGCTAGCCAATAACTACTAGGGACCACAACAACCTGTGTCGTTATTTGAAAAAAACCCGTTACAGCGAGCTGGTAAAGGAAAGGAAAGTCTAACGACCGAATTTTAGTAAATGTTGGAACATTTGTAATCTCACGCCAACACGAAACAGATATCCTGATGATACACATGCTGTCATTCATTCAGACCCCCTGCTCACTAATTATTGGCTCAACGCGAAGTTCTTTGATGACGCACAAAGACTTTCCATTTCAAATAGAGAAACTTCTCGGCTTACCTGCTCTTGAGTATTATAATATTGCGGGTTATTTCCGTTGAAAAGGTTACTGTTTAAACAGCATATTTCTCCTGGAGGTCGCAGTGTAAATGTGGTTGTTTGACCGCTTGGTGTGTCCTTTAACGGCAGCCGCAGATGCAGCAGAGTGAGGAGACGCTCAGTGTGGAGGAACCTTGACGCTCGTCCAATCACGTGCCAGTATTTCCTCCTTGGTTACCGTAAAGACTCGGGCATGCGCAAGATTTTCTTTTTAGTGTGAAGCCCATCCGTCGTAGTTATACTAGTGTAGAAGAAGGACCTCATTCAAGTGTTTATGTTTTTTGTTAAGTAATAATAATAATGTTTTGTTTTTCTGAGGATTATTAAATATCTATTTTTTGTTATGTTTTTTTAATCATGGGCCTGAGAGAAACAATAATTCATCAGATGAACACATGTATCATCATTAAGATTATATTACGTTTTTTCAGCGTCAAGTGATTTGTTTGTGCTAAATACGCACAATAAAAGACAGGTCATGAGCAATGATCATACAATTAGGGCATGCTTTAAAATGGTTTCCTAACCTCAGGTTTAACAATGCATGTGGCCTGTTGCCACTTGGCTACATTACATTGTTGGGGTGGATTACCAACCTGGTATGGGCAATAGCCCAAGGCTCCCAGACCCCCCGGGTCACCAAATGCCATACATTATGTTTCAGTTGAGGTATAGTTGTAATTTGATTAATTGTTCTTTTTTGCAGGAATCTGCCATCACCTGTTCCAACTGTGTCATAGAGAAGATCTTTATCAAAATCATCATGGCTAATCTTCTAGTATAGTTTTGTGCCTGACAAATTACATGTACATCAATGCAATCATTTTAGGCATGGAGGTTGTCAATCAAATTCACTTGATAAAAATCAACCGTATACAAAATGCCCTTAAATAACTAATCCCATCAATATTAGTTATTTGAATTGGCAATAAGCGACAACATAAAAAAAAGTAAGGTCAAATAACAGTTTAAATATTGTTTTATTAATTATTCACCAAAAAGAGAAACTGCAAAAAGAGAGTTATTTTCTATTAATATTGAGCATTAAAAAACCTCACAGCTTTTCTCAAATGAAAAGCAGAAGCTTCTTTGAAGCGTGTGTACAAAAGAAATAAAAGCGCACAGAAATCTTTAAAAATAATGACACATTAAAACAGCTTAACTATTTGAACAGTTGTGAAAGCCATGCAGAAGGGAGAACATATACATTACATTCAGGAAGCTGGAAGCATCAAGGTGTACTGAGGCACATTTTGTACATTTCTTCCACACATTTGAAATAATGAATTACAGTATGTGTTTGTTTTTCGTCAATGATGTTATTGCTGGCTTAGTTTACTTGCAAAGGAAATGATCTCCTAAATACAAAATGTGATTTTAACAACTGTAAAGGTTAAAAACTAAACTCATTTAATTAAAAAAAAAATGTCTCTGATCACAAACATGGAACGTTTTTTTCAGTTATTCCAGAAAACCGGTATTATTAATACCTTAGAGGTACCTTTTTGATAACAATCAACATTAACAGTCGTGGACTTTCAGTTGTTGCTCAGGAAAACCTGCATTTCTGAATGTGCTAATGACTCCGATGTGCTTGATGTCTATTGATAATATCAAATAATTTACCTGGCTTTGCTTTATCTATAGGCCTACTATTAGTAAAGTCCGGCAGTGGCTCAGTCAGTATGGGCTTGGACTGTGAGCCGTAGGGTCGCCGGTTTAAGTCCCCGACCAGACCTAAATATGGAGTGTAGACTTCTACTTGGAGAGGTCCCAGTTCACCTCCTGCCCTGCCGTGGTGCCCTTGAGCAAGGCACCGGACAACCCCCTCACTCCCATTGTTCCCCGGGCGCTGTACAATAGCTGCCCACTACTCCTAGTACTAGACTCCTGGTACTAGGATGGGTTAAAAGCAGAGAACACGTGTGTTTCTGAGAGGTTTTTGCTGGCAGTTTGTTTTATGCATCTCAGTATTGTGCCTCTGGAGTTCCCAATATACAGACTCTTGTTGTACATATACATAAGCTGTTAACAACAGCAGAGACAGGCTGCAGCAGAGCATTACATTTCAAACAGGGAAACCAGGAAAGGAGAGGCCTATTTCGTCTAGGTAAGATGGATTTAACTGTATACCTTTTTGACAAAAGCTCAACAGAATCATTTGAATGCTGTTTCCATAGCCAGTATGCAGTTAAGAAAGAACGAGGCACAAGCCAACAGCCTACATCTCTTAATTAATTTCCCTTGACCCTACCTGATTTGGTTACCTTTATTAAATAACATTCTGACAGGCTACTGTCTTCCACATTGGATAGAAAAGTATTTCAAAATATATGTTTTGGTAATGTTTTTCTTTCTTCTAATGATATGGTTACAGGGCAGCATTTGAGTACAAATCATTTAGATTTTCAAGGATCTACGTTCTCCAAAATATAAGTTACTGTTGTTTGCATTACAGCTGTCTTGGGCTAATATTAAAGTGAGCAAAATTGTAACAGATATCTGACTGTCTAGTACAGAGAGGATAGTATCTTTTCAGTAAGTGGGATGACCTTTGGTGCACCAGGCAGACTTTGCGATTGAACTAGAGCATAAATTATTACGATAGATCGTTCCACATTAACCAAAATACAATTCACACCAAATAAACAGAAAGGTGTGCTCTATAATTCAGAAAATAATATTTTAAGATAAATGAACATCATAAACAACAGTCTTGGGAAATATAATATAGAATTAAATATTTAAATAGTTTTATACAAGTTTACAAGGCATGTAGCACTGCAGTGACAGAGCTCATTAAGTCACTGTGGGAGCATTAAAACAGCAACAAAAGATCCTCATAGTTTACCACGCAGCATCATTTGACTGATTCTCTTTAGTTAATACATTCAGCATTTTACGTGTCATAGTCATTATTGGGTGTACATCATCATCGGAAGACTGTATGACTTTTGGGAAATTAACTGACCGATTCCCACACAGCAAGGGATCTTGTAGAAACATACATTTAAAGCAAACTTCAAATAAAGTGACTCCTCTAGATAACTGTTATCCAGCACGCAGTAGCCCAGGAAACTATTAGTTTAGTCAATTGCAGATAATTGTATAACAGAATTAGTCGCTATCAAGTCAAGGTTTGACAGCAAACCACAAATACCATAATCATTAATTGGCTGATTATTTCAAAAATATTCCCATGTTGAACAAATACTTAATATTTGAAATGCTAAGCATGGTTATTAATTTTCAACCCAAATACTTTTTAACCACTTATTGCCTGAGAGTACACTTGACAAAGCTGCATAATTGCTTTTTTAAGTGAGGGTTTTATTCACAGCATGTGGCCTGTCGTCGCTTTAGTAACAAGAAGACTGCTAACACTTAGGTCTAATGTTTAAGTAGGACTATTAACCACAGATCATCTGTACTATTGAAAACACTATGAGCATTTGGAAGTGCCAGCCATTATGATGCTATACTGAAGAGGACCTGAAGTTGAAATTCAGCATCAAGAGTTTGGAGTCTGGGGTGGAGGAGTCCTGTGCTCTGGGAGCCTAGGCACCTTTCGGTTAATGTTCGGCTGTTTGCTTTCTTCCCTCCATCCTCCCTCTTTTCCTTTCTTCCCGTCTGCTTTCTCCTTATTCTGCCGACACAGTTTCAATGCTCGGGATATAAACACGTCCAGGTCGAAAAGCCGCTCTCTTTGTTTGACAGGTAGTGACTCCAAGGAGTCATCATTTACTGGCTGAGAAATGGAGGAAGTAGAAGAAAGGGGTTGAGATTCTAGGGAAGGAAAAAGTGTCGAGGCGGGAGAAGATAGTGTTTGAGGTGACTGAGGGGGGGGGAGTGGAGAGGTGGGAGATGAGGGGAGAAGTGAGGGGAGGGAATTAGAGGAAGACGTGACAAGAAGAAGTGGTCTCAGTCTATCTTCATCATATTCAGATGATGGTTGCTGCACAACTTCCCCGTAGTGGAAAACTGAAGTTGGGAGGTCAGTCGGGGTGAAAGGGAGAGGGGGAGATGAGACGTAACCCGAAGGTGAACATGGCTCCACAGAAAGACTGGGTGAGTGAAGATGAGACTGGGTGCTTTCCACCCAGCGAGAGATCTCTTGGAATAAATCCCCGGTCTCCTCTTCTTCCTCCTCTACGGCTTCCTCCTCGTTCATCGCTCTCAGGTCCTCCATGCTGCCACCAAGTGGCTCGGAAGGCAAAGGAAGGCTATTGGTGTTACGCTTCCAATGAGACAGATCCAGGATCAGCTTAGGCTCTGAGTAGTGTTGAGGCTTGCCCTCCTTCCAGGCAATTTTATCCAGATAAGAAGGAGATCCCACTTTGTAGTCACAGGAACGACCACAGTCCAGTTCCCCATACCCCAGACCACAGGCCCGCTCTAGGGAGGAGGGAGAGTTTTCCAGGAAGCGTTCAGCTGAGCTGCTGTGGGAATACTTGCGTGGATCCACCTTTAGAGCACAGATGGTGAGTAGCAGGGAGAAGGTGAATTGTGTGTTGAACTGCTTTCATTAATACTACTCTTAACTACACACTCTTTTCATTGTGTCATTAATAAATGGTTGTATAAATCAGTCAGTATATGGGAAAAATTAAAGCATATCCAACCTGTGCCTCCTCTATCAGTGCCGTGGAACTGGCCCGGGGGTCTCTCTGCACCTCCTCATCCTCTGTAGTGTCTCCTAGGTCAGAGGACATGTGGGCAGGGGGCATGCAGCGACACCTCCCGCCCGACAGCTGCCAGGACACATCTGTTGATAAACTGCTCTCATACCTGCAGGGGAGCAGAAATGACTTGTAAAAACGTTGCTGGTAAGTACATATTCGGTCCTTTTTACATTAGGAATCTTTAGTAGTTTCTTGTGCTTTGCCAGACTTTTCTGTTTTATACTATTATTGGCATGTTGGCTCTACGTTTTTATCTTTATCTATTTCTGTATTCTATATAAAATACTAGTGTAAGAAATATAAATTCACACACTTTTCCCAGTGGATGCTGGAGGCCTGACTGTTGCTGTTGCTGAGGCTCTGCTCGGTGACAAGGCTGTCCTCTAGTTCGTCCTCGATGCGGAAGGGATGCGAGGAGGTGGGTTCATCCTCAGGACAGGAGTACTGCTGGAGGAAAGGGTGTGACAGCGCTGCCTCAGCTGTGAGCCGATCCATGGGGTTAAAGGTCAAGATACGCTGAAGGAAGTCAACAGCTGTGAAGAGAAAAGAAAGGGATCAGTGAAGGGAAGAGGATTAATAGAAATAAAATATATGTTCTTCTTAACTTTTATTCATATCCCTCTCTCAGGGCTAATTTATGTAGGTTAGACATTCAAAACTCTACAGTTACTCCATCGCCTCAACACCCTCACAGTTTAGAAAAGTTAATGTTTGCTTTATCTTTATTTACATATTCAATTTATCTTGTTTGTCCCTGCTGTATTTTAGTATTGCACCTTGAGCATCCACTTCAGGCAGCAATTCAGAAAAGGGTTTCTTCACTTTCCATCCATGGCTGACATAGGAAGGTATCACCTGGGAAAAGGATGACAGGGGGGTTAAAATATGTGCATAACTCTGTTGTGGTTATATCTTTTTGCACATTTCACAGCACTCCCCTAGGTTAATAAAGCTTATTGTAGTTGAATGCAACACAAAGGCAGGGCCTTAGAGAGAAACATGACATAGATGACCGTATTAATAAAATCAGTTTGCAAACATATGACTAGCAGCAGCCACTGAGGCGTCACCTGTAGCAAGTCCTGCCTGTCCTCCTCTCTCAGCACCGGCACTGTGTCGAGGATCAGCTGCATCTGCTCCAGCTCATGAACGCCTGGGAGAGAGGGAATCAACCAATCAGAGACAAGCAGAGAAGAGACGAGCATCGGTTACATAAGCAGAAGAAAATGTGACCAATTAGAGTCAAACAGGATCACTTGGTGGTGTGAGCTGTCGAGTGAAATAAATGACAATGAAAGGGTGTTCAATAAGAAATCTGAAGTTAGAATGGAATATGCAGCAGTCTCTTTCATTTGATTTGACTTAAAATCTATGAACAGAAATCACCACTTTAAGAGCCACATATTCAGACAGAATAAATCAGATTCTGTAAAGCTCAACTTTTGTCCCTGAATGTGGTGTAGCCAGACATGCAGCATGCTCAAACTTTGCAGGTAATAGCAGAGCTGTAGCTCTCCCCACCCGTGTCATGCAGGGTGGATTTGCCCTTTAAATGTTTCAATCAATCTAATGGGCGCCAGTAGGTGGTGCTATATAAACACACTCACCACTCTGAGTAACAAGCAAGCAGTTGTATTGTATTGGGATGAAAGTGCATTGCTTTCCCTGTCGTAAACAAAACACATGTGACATTTAAAAACTGCTGCTTAAGTATGGCAAACATCTCTCACAGTCCATGTGTGAAATTCGAACAAAGAAGAACACCAGGGAACAGATGACGCTATTGAGTTTGTGGCATCATCTCTCCTGTGGTGGAGAGGGCTGCTGGAGGTCAAATCAGCCTGTCAGGAGGAACTACATCTGCTTTAGACAGAGAGAATGTTTCTATCATCATTGTTATTCTGGTCAGGCAAAGAAGGAGCCTGCAGAAAAAGAATAATGTATCTTTGGTGGAGAACACTATGTACAGGAAAACTCTCCATAGCCCTCACTAGATGCTACTTTGTCTTTTTATTCTTACATTTCTACTAGTAACAACTTTAAATGGCAAAGGACACAGAGGTGTGTTTGAATACAACTGATTTACCGGATGTTATCACTATATTAACTTGAGAAGTCTTGTTTAAGCCTTCAATCTTATTTTGTTCGGTGTTTATTATATCTAAGATGTTAAATAGAGGTGTTTGAGACTCCTATGTTTCTGCTCAATACTAAACATATCTTTGTATTTCTCCATGCAATCAAAAAAATGATGCGCATAATCAAAATGTTCCTGCAGTACATCAAGGTCATGAGTGTGTTAAAGGACACAGCATGACAAACAGTAGAGGTACCTGCAAACAGCATGCGTCCTGTGAGCATCTCTGCCAGTATGCAGCCAGTGGCCCACATGTCGATGGCCTTGGTATAGTTGTTAGGGGACAGGAGCAAACGGGGGGAACAATACCACTTGGTTACCAGACCCTCAGACAGATAGCCCTGGAGAAGGAGTTGAGGGTGTGAGTGAGAACAAATACAGGGAAAATAGGTAAGTGAAATTAATTATTTACTGTAGGTAAAGAACATTAGTGATGCACATGCAGATAATTAGCTTGTGAGATGTTCTTAACATTTAGTGTGTACTTGTTAGTCTGCATGCATGTGTCTAATATTTAAAAAGGATGATTACAATCTAGTTGGTCGTGTTTTTGTTTGAGCGCGAGCCTCATTAAGTCAGTACGTTCAGCCACAAAAAAAGGAAATGTAAGCTCATATTTTGAGTTACACCCACAAGGCTTGGGTTTTTATGTCAGCTACATGAACAGGCTTCTCGATACTCTCTATAGAAAACATTCGCCTTATCTCTACCTTCATTTATGACGTTTCACTGAGCCTTTGATGCTCTACTTTTTCAACAACACATGTCCTCTCATTACTTCTGCTCCAACAAGGCGCCTGTCTGCTTTTTCTTTTGTAAACGCTCACCTTGTGAATAATACTGATATTGATGTGCATGGAGATGAGCAGCAGCCACATGTATTCACATACAAACCAGATTTATCTGCAGAGTAATGAGAATGTGCCTGTTGCTATCATTAATGCTCTTGTGGCCTTTTATAAATCACTTCACCTCTCAATCTCTGTAATAGCTCCACTCTCTGACCTTACCAAATCTCAAAATCCCTGCACTTACTATATGATACTTCCATTATGTTCCTGGCCATGAATCTCTCTTCAGCCAATTCTCACTGCTCTGAGCTCCTAAACTGATACAGTATGAAGACTATATAGACTGCACAACAATCCTAAGATTTAGGCTTACACATTCTTACACATTTGTATATTTCTGGAGGCTGCAAGCTAGTCTCATGCTGGCTAGAGTGTCTGTGGACATATCAAAGTAACTTCCTTCCTGCTGACATACTATTTGTATCACTCTTATCCCCAAAGAAAACAAGATTTTTGTGTTTAAAAAAGGCGGACCCACAATTTGTCTTCTGTCTTTTTCTCCCTCCATTCTTTGTCCTCGCTGCACTTCTTCCCTTCTGTTCTCCCATCACCACTTTTCTTAAATCGTGTTTTTTCAGGCCACCAGAGTAACATTTCTCATATACTTCTAAACCATATCTTGAATGAGTTGGAATTAAATAGCATTATTGAGTTCCTGTGAAAAAGGAGATATTAATTGAAGTTCAGTTTTACTTCGCTCTTCAGCCTTTCTGTTTTCTCTTTGCTCCTCCTGTGTGGCCTCTCCTCTCCTCTCATTTCAATCCTCTTTGCCCCTGTATCATGTGTAGCCTTATCTTTAGGCTCTCTATTCCCTGTCTTCTGCCCTCACTTCACCTTTCACACTTCCTCCCCTTCCCCCCCAGGCTCTCCCTCATTGCTGCCAGGAGATGACAGAGCAGAAACTGATGCTGAGTGTTCAATGATGCACACACCTTGCCTTCTATCTGTCTGTCCCTCTGTTTTGATGACTCTCTCTATCCCAGTTATTATTTGATGGACAGTGTCTTTCAAGGAATGTGTCTAAAGTACAACATTTTGTAGAATGTAATTTTATTTGATGATAATTAATCTGATCGGAAAAATAAGCAAGTGTAGGTCTCAGTTTCAAAGAATGATGCACAGATGTGCCCTCACCTTTCATCATGTAACTGGGTTTAGCACACAGCTATTCCCCATTATTAAATATTTGTTGGACTTCTCTACCCCTTCCCTTTTCTCTCATCCTTCTCCCCTCACCACCTCCCACTTGCCTCTCCATCCATTCCCTTCATCTCAACTCATTGTTTCTCTACGTCAGCATCATCAGCTTTGACTGTCACTTCTTTTTTTCTTCACACTTCACCCCATCTCTCTCTTTTTGCCCACACCCTTTCTTCTCCTCCTTTATCACCTGTTCCATCCCTCGCTCAGTTCTTGTCAGTTCCACTCATTTGGACCTGTCCTACTCCTACTCCCCTCTGCCTCACTTCTTTATCTTTCATCCATTTATTTCTCTTTCTTTTCCAACACTTTCCTCTTTTCACCTTTCCTCTCCGTCTTTCTCCTTTCTCCAGGTCATGAATAATTTCTAGGCAGATCCAGTGCCGCCTCAGCAGGTGACATAACCACTTCAAGGTGCTACTTGTGTTGACGGTAAACGACATCACCAATTATCTTTGCTCTGCCTCTGTTTCCCTTCTCTCTTATTTCAACATTTCTGTTATCTCTTTTTGCCTGAATAAATGTTTGTCTCTGTTGTTGCATTTAGAGCGATTTGAAGCACTGTAGAGTCAGAGTGTGCTGAGAAAACATCTGTTATTACATGTTACTGATAAAAGGTAGGAGTGATTTCTTTGGAGCAATTATTATAAACCATACAATCTGAGCCACCAGCTATGTTTTATGGCCCAACATGAAAGTGAAAACTATCTGTCGTTTTCACATCACATGTTGGAGTAAATACTGAACACGTCTATTCCCACAAAAATGTTTTAAAAAGCAGTGATTTGGTTCTGCATTATTAAATAACAGAGAGGAGGCTAGCACATTCACTGCAGGCATCTGCTTTGGTGTGAACACTGCATTACAACTAACCCAGCCTCATCTTACACACACATTGCCATACACACAGACACATACACACACATAACTCTGGCTCTCAGACACATCAGCTGGAGCAGACTCTTCATATCCAACTCAGAACAATCAAAGCCACGTCAGCAGTTTAAAATTAGAGTGTAATGTGCAGCCAGCACTCTCAATGTTTAATAATGCATCCCCATAATCAAAGCTTTGAGGCAACGTCTGCAAAGGAAGAGGCTCATATTGCAGCACCTGACAAGGGAAAAAAATAATATATCTGTAAGAGCTCAAAGTACTTGGTGTTGAATAGTCCATGTGTTCATTTATCCATTCATCTATCTATATATCTATATATCCATCCATCCATTCATCTATCTACCTAGTGACAGTGCAGAAGTTTGAACACAGTGTTCTCTGACAGGCTGAGCATTTTCTGTAGCTACACAGTGTGAGAGCTATATGCACCTAAACGCAGAAAGGGGAACAGAGTGAGAGTTTCTGCTGTCATGCAAAACCCAAACCATCTTCATCGCTCTCTTTGATATCTTATTTGTACCGATTTTCCCTATCATTCCTATTTGCACTTTCTCTCACCCTTCTTGTTTTTCTGCCCTTACTGCATTGTTCTTTTCACCTCCCCTCCTTTCACCCTTCCATGACTTATCATTTCTCATCCTTGCTCCTCATCTGTTCTCTTCCTCCCCCCTCCTCCTCCTCCCCTCCATCTAAACCCCCTGTGTCTGCACCCAGCTGATCCCCAGTCCCGTGCTCTGAGCTGACAAAGATCGCTTTTCACAAGAGCTCCTCTCCCTCTTCACATGCACAGACCAGAAGAACACACACACACACACACACACAGTCCTGCCCTGCTAGTGTTACAGTATTGCTGTGGGACCTTCGTGCATAATAAAGCAGCACAATGGGGCGGTAAATTGTCACATCCATCTCTCAGAAGCCTTTATCTACAGTGGACAGGCTAATCCCAGGGTTTGATTTGCACAACACTTGATACCAGGTTTGGGGAAGAAAATGTTAATAGTAACAGGTATGGTAATAAAAGATGTAGGAACAAGGAGACAGCTTGGCAGTGCTGCTATAGCAATATGTAGAATCCTAGTGTAGCGGTTACACATTTTTAAATGTCAAGTTTGAAATAGTGTATTCTGTTTGGATTGGGCGGCCAGTGTTGATCTTTGTCAGAATCTGACCAATGAAGTATAAGATGTCACCCAAGATAACGCACACACCAGACAGACAACAATTATTCTGTTTTTCAATCAACCTGCTGATATTCTACGGGAGGAAAATCCCAGTTTATAGAGTATCCTTTGTCACACTAGTGCAAGGGCTTGTGCACGGCTGTCTGACTATCACACTTTCTCTTCCTTCATTGAGAGTGAGCAGCGATAATGCATTAATATTAAAATATTTGGATTCATCTATCATCAGCAGAGCAGCCCACACTATGTCAGACTGCAATGATAAGATTGAAAATCCTCCTTATTTTATCAACTTTGCTGGCTTGAATATGAACAGTCTGATTATTTTTTGTAGTATTAAAAAGCACAGAGACAAAAAACACAGCCAATATTAGGTGGGCAGAGATCATAACCTGTATCCTGGCTTGTCTTCTGAAGATTATGGCTTTATAAAAATGATTGAAACTTGTTGAGAGATCAGGAGGCTTAAGAGAGTAATGATCAAAGGCATTTATTGGCTCTCCTCAAAAGAACACTTGGCACATTTGCCACATCTACATGTCCTACATAGATCCAAAGAGTAATAAGCTAAAAGCTGGAAATATGTGTACAAGTGTTGCTGATTTTAGAAACTTCCAGTGAATATTTCATCTTTGATCATCAGTCACAGACTTTTCATTAAAAAAGTGTGAGTGTAAATGTCCCTGCAGTTGGCCTATGTGTGTGTGGGTGTGTGTGCGGTAGGGTTTATTATTCTCTTACCTTATGAGAATAATGCGGGTCGACTATCCTGGCCAGTCCGAAGTCTCCAATCTTGAGCAGCAGTTGGTCTGTGTTGAGGAAGATGTTGGCAGGCTTCAGGTCTCTGTGCAGGACGTTAGCTGAGTGAATGAACTTCAGTCCCCTCAGCAGCTGGTAGAACAGCAGAGTAGCATGACCTGTTTAAGGGAAAAGGCTCAGATATCAGGAAACAACACACCACTTCTCTTTTCAGTCTTTAATTTCCATAACGATGCTTACCTCTAGTGAATATGCTTCATTATGTGTTATTGTGTACAACTTGTATGGATAGCTTCTCTACAATTAAAATAATTGAAATCACAAAAGGAATAAGGGGAATATTCAACGAAAACGCACATTTTGTGGAATCATTTCCTATGGGCAACACTGTTTTGGCACATAAAGTCAAAAAGCAATGGTATCACTCAAATAGTTACAAAACATGTTTATTTAGAGGATACAAACAAGCTGAAAGAACAAATCAAAATGTTCTGGGCAGGATTGTACTGTGACTTGTGGATAAAACACTGTCTCAGTAAAAGAGTGTCTAAAAGGACAGCGACTAATCCAATAATTCGCAGTGTAAACAAAGCCAGCAGTGCTGCAGAAACAGAACAGTAGTGTTTCAACAAACTGTGAAATCGGGTTTAGGAACATAACATTTCTTTTTTTTTATTTAACTTTGATCTTTCCATTTCCTTTTTAGTTCCCATACCTGTGGGTAGTGGTCCTTGTTCTAGCAGTCGAGCCAGATCTGTCTCCATGCACTCTTGCACGATGTACAGGGCACTCAGTTGGGTCGGGTCTCTGGGCAGCGGTCGTCCATACGGCGCCAAAACCTCGTGAACACTCACCACGTTTTCATGGAGCAGCCGGCGGGCGATTTTGACCTCCCGCAGAGCGTGCTTCAACGTCACAGCATCGCGCATCACCAACTTTTTGATTGCCACGCGCTGGCCGGTGCGCTCATCAACAGCTGAGAGGACCAGGCCTGTTACACCTGTGCCGAGAGGTCGAAGGTCAACAAAGTGACCACCGAGGTCAAAACCATGAAGGAAGAGGGGGGTCTCTTGTCTGGCCATGATAGCTTCGTCTGCCGGTGTTAGGGACAGATGATAGATGGTTGTATGTACTTTGAAATAGCTTGATGGATCCCCAAAATATCACATTTAAAGGTGCTTTGGTTTATATTGTGCACATTAACTGACGAGTTGATATTTAGTTGTGTAGCTGGTGCATCTAGATGTCCGTTATCTTGTAGAAAATATCCAAATGAAGTAAAGAAATCTAGTCTGCTAAAAGGTAGTGGCAGTTTGAGGGGCACCCATATGTTCCAGTAGGGTTACTTATTCCAGATTTGGGTCCAGAATTTGGAACTGAACCAAGAATTGCAAGCCGGTTAAAAGAAACACAATTTTTCCTTCAGGCCTACCAAGTGTCTTTGTGCATAATCTTCACCTCCTCTGCTGGTCCTGTGTGGGCAGATTATTTTACTGTAGCAGCTGAGAATCCACTATGTTCCACATTAAAAAACAACCTATGAGGTTAGTACGTGCTTAATAAAACTAAAATGTACTTTTTCCTCATGACACTTGATGAAGATGTTTCTCTGTTCCAAAGATGTGATGGGACGCTGTGCTCTGCTGCAGGGATGCACTTCTAATCTCTCACTGCATTTTGTTCTTGCGCAGATAGTAAGGATGTCAGTGAGTCCTATTAACACTACCCAGGGCAGGGGTATCCATAGAAACAGCCCTCTGTGTGGCTGATCCTGCTTTTACATGTGTAGATGCATCATGGGACAGCAGCAGGAGGACAGCCAGTAATCCTCATCGATCAGTCTTCGATACTGAGTTAGGAGGAAGGAGGCGAGGTTAGGTGAGTTAAATCAATTCTGTCAGCTCCTCCTCTTCTTCCATGATACCAAAGTCAGTCAGTCCGTCAGACAGTCAGACAGTCAGTCAATCAGTCAGTAAGTTCATTCAGTGTGAGGTCCACAGTTGGAGGGTGGTCAAATCCCAGAGCTGTGGTACTGTTGCATGTGGTTAGTCCCTCAGTAATCTGCTTCCTGTTGCCTTCTGATGAATGTAAGGGGTTTCAGCATCAGGTCGTGGTCACTGTGAAGAGATAATGCTATTAGCTGAGTCGCGTAACAAATCTGCTGCTGAGGATGAAAAGAGGCGAACAGAAGAAAAGCTAAAGATGAAAGTAACAGAGGAACAGAGCCAGTGTGTTAACAGGGTCTGGGTTGCAGGAGAGTTGCCATTACATAACACTAAATGGCAGAGTAACCGAATCTACAACCTAACGTGCCCTAGAGAGGATAATAACATCTATTCAGTGACGCCTTAATATCTGCTATGTGATGCTGTTGACATTTTAAGCAGAGACACTGACAAGATGAAGTGGATTACCATGGCAGCATTGTTTTCAGTGATAAGCCATTTCATTTTCTGATGGCATCACACAGCATAACTTTCTGATTAAACGTGAATAAAACTAGCCGACAACTGAGTTCTATACCCACAACTTGAAAGGTCATATAGTGGTAGAAAACAAAGGATTGGCTTTCTCACACCCCTGGATCCCAGGGATGCAAGAATTCAAACAATCTTTTGAACATATCTTTGCTGTAAAAGGCCTGAGGGCATGTTTGCTTTTCTTTCTAGACGGGGGGATGTGCACTCAATAACTTCTCTTTAACAGCCTTCAACTTACTTACAAACACACTCCATGTCCATGTGAGCCTCAGTCAGGCAGATAGTCAGAGGCTGACAGCGTGTAAGCTGAGAACAGAGGCTGGGAGAGAGGGAGCGTTGACAGTGTTGCTGGGTGGGAGACGCAGCGCTGGGCTAACTTTATATATAATGCATAACCACTGGAGATGGCACTGTGCCTTTATTCTGCAAATGTTTTCAGCTTATGCAATTTTTTTCAGTGTATGCAACCAGAATACATGTCATAAATACAGATAGTTTGCAGTTTGTTGATGCAATGCAATAAAATGCATTTAATTGCAATTGTGAAGTCCATTGTCAATTTTTTTTTAAATATAACACTGGCTTAAAAAAAATATTTTAATTCAGGTTAAGGCAGAAAATGAAACCAAACTCTACACAATATACAATATGATGTGGTGATGGCAGATGAGAGGGTAACTAACACATCACTCACAATTAGTCCCTTATTGTTATCTTCCTCGTTTTACTCCCCAACAACAGGCGTTAATGTAGTTACAGTTCAGATGGAAAACACTGCATCCTCTCTGCACACTGACTTCATGCGGCTGCCTTTGTGTGTCCCACAGTAACGCCCCTCTGACAGAACAAAAACAGTGAGGTTGAAGTGCATCTAATAACTACATAAAGCTCTATTTAAAATGAGAAAATGAAAGTAAACCAACGACAACCAGACTCGAGCTCATTTTAGCTCCTCAACCAGCGTCCCGCTATCTTCATCTCTATGCAGTATCTGTTCGCTGTACAATAACAAGAGGAAGAAGAAAGAAAGATAACAGCAGCAACCAGCGGTACTCACCGCTTTTACGCAGCCGCAGCCTGCCGTCCAGAAAGAAAGATCGGGGGAACAGATGTAAGAGATACGGGTCCCTCGGAGGAAAGAAAGTGAAACACGACCGGATCTCTCTTTTGTGTCCCTGTGATTCAAATGATATGGGGGGGCAGCCGGTACGGGTCGGTACCGGGGAGATCCGCCGAGATAAAATAAGCCACAGGAACTGCTATAGAGCCGGTTATTGTGGGAGACTGTCCTGAGAGAGGGAGGAGAGGAGGGATCACCTAGATCAGATAGCAAACATGTAGCAGACCTGAGAGTGGACACACTGCACCATGACTGACTGAGTATCTCTCTCTCTCTTTCTCTGGATGCTGAATTCATTGGTCTCAAAAGCTAAATATCCGAATCAATTTAAATTAAAACCCAAACCAGCCTCCATCTTGTTCTAGCTGAATTATTATTGTTTGATCATCATAGTCATCTGCAATCCCGCATGGTGTTTGGGATTAAGGTTCCCCTAGCCATTGTGTTGTGTTCGAAAGCTGTTACCGCTCATGGTGTTCGCGGGTCAATTTTGATCCATGATTTATCTCAGTCCAAAACACTCCAAAATAATGACTATCATCCAATATTGTTTTAATTACATCATAACTAACTTATAATGCATTCATAACCGTACAATCCTGTTGTAATTGTATAGCCCCAAAACACATTACACCATATTGGTTCAGGTTCAAGTGTTAGTGTACATATTCTTTGGTAAAGGAAAGGTCGAGTTCCCATGGGGGGAGGGGGGCCAGAAGGATGGGAGACCAGGTGCATGTTGCGAAAACAATATTGTTACAGTGGATGAAGGGGGTGGGGGTGGGGTGTCTAAAGTCAAAGATGAATCTTGATTGGGCCAAAATTGACCCTGAGCCACCCACAACAATGCTGCTGGGCAGTGGCGGTTCTAGAACATTTTACATGGGGGGGCAAAGGGGAGGCAAGAGGTCATGCCAGGGTGGCATATAGGAGGGCGGACAGTACGTGGTATTTTACACTGTATATAACCTATTTATTGTTAATTCATGCCCTAACACAAGTGTTCTTAATGCACAAAAGAAACAAGGTGTTCAGACAAACAATCGGGTGCCCTTTGAGTCCCCCAAGCTTACCTCAACCATTTTAAATGAAAGGAAACTACAAAATGTATTTTAAAGCAATGAATTAATGGAACAGGTTGTTTTGCATTACAATTAGGGCCGGGACTTTAACGCGTTAATTAAGATCAATTAATTACACAAAAATTAACGCGTTAAAAAAATTAACGCATTTTAATCGCACTTATTTTTGCACCGGGGAACGTTTCTCACTGGATGAGTTTCCGGCGTACCGATTATACTGGAGCACCAACTAACGTTCATGACTTCAGACAACAACAAACCACAGTGAACAACAGTGGGAAATGTTGTTTTAAAAAACGGACGGATGGAAGCGTCGATAAAAGCACGGTTGTGTGCAAATTATGCAAAAAGGAATTCGCATATCACCGCAGCACATCAAGCCTCAAGTATCACCTCAATGCAAAACATATAGCAGCTAGCGTGGAAGCTAGCGTGGACGTTAGCCTCTTTTATCGCGTTCACACCAAAAAGAGCCGGTACTAAAATTAGTTCATGAGAACCTTTTTACCCCCACGAAAGTCCCTGCTAGAGAGCAGAGAGCTGCTAGAGAGCAGGGACTTTCGTACGGCTCTCTTGTGAGAAAAGAGCTATATTTCTGATTGGCTGGGCGGATTGCAAACCACGCCCCGTAAAACTCCCAAAAAGTTTTGTGAAGCCGCCATTTTATTATCCTCGCATTAGCATTATTAGCATTAGCCCAGCGCAGAAACGCAGAGAGACTAATTTATGGCAACACAAAATAAAACATGGGAGCGGTGGAGATGAGGAGGTGTCGGCGTTCTGGCGATTTACTCAGAAGGCTGCTGGGACTCCCAGCAGCTTCTACTGAAGCCAGTCCCTAACTCAGGGGACTTCCGGCCGGGGACTTTGGGCGGCAATATACGCCGTGAAGTGGTTTGCGGCCTGCCAGTAAACCCAGAAGAAGCAGAAGCAGAAGAAGAAGAAGTGACGTCAGCGGCTTCATTTGCCTAATCCACCCCCAGGTTCAAAGAGTTCTCATATAAGTTCTCATGAACCTTTGTGGGAAAAGTACTGCGGTGTGAATGCGCCTAATGGTATACTAAAATCCATGTGGAAAAAATTGCTTCTCACTGTTCTCAGGTCAAATATTTACATGTGATTAAAAATGCGATTAATTTCGATTAATTAATTACAAAGCCTCTAATTAATTAGATAAATTTTTTTAATCGAGTCCCGGCCCTAATTACAATGTAAAATTAAATATATATTTTGTTTTAGACAGACACAAAAATTGGTTGTCTTAGACAGACATATTTGCATGTCCTCACTAAGCATTATTACATATTAATTTAATATTAAACAAATCAAAATGGCCAATTATCCCAAAATGTTGCTGCTAATATAATCATATGCTTGTCAACTTTAACTGATCAAAAATCAATTCTGAAAAAATACTTATCTATGAAATTGCAATATTGTCCCTCAGTTTGTTTCAACCCTGTCACGCCATATCATTTACCCTCCTATTAAAATAATGGATCAGTCCGTGTGTGATTCAGGGAATTACATCACAAAAGTGTCAGTTTCTTCTCTTACCTATATTTCAATTTTTGTATTTTCAGATTAAGATTGACAAGCTCAACATTTCAACTCTGTTATATGAATTAATAATAGTAAATAATTGTTTATTACAAAAATAAACAATAGTTTTGCAAAATATTACAATGTTGTAATGTCCTTGACTTCCATGTGGTGCCATATCTTAGCTAAACAAGGTCTCATGCCTACTTTTTGTCAAAAACTTCAACCCTGTTACATTTTTTCAAGGAAATTCCTAGTAATTATTTATATTTTGTGCCTGAGGTGGGAAAATGTAAGTAGTCCACTACCAGATGTTATGACCAAACATTTTGGTTTCATTTGTCAAAGATATAAAGACCCAAAAGGCACCTGATTCAGAGAATACTCAGAATGCTGCATACTGTAAGTACTTAATTATAATTAAGTACACAAATGACATCACCCATCTCTTCAGAGAGCAACAGGTGACCTGTGCAGCAACACATTTCAATCAATATTTGTCAATACTAACAACTGCTAGATTGTGCTGCTGTAATGGAATATGTAAGGAGAATAAGAACATACCATGTGGTCCAGCTGGAGTTTCATCTGCCTCCTGATCCCTGCCTCTGGCCCTCTTTCTGATACTTCATCTTTATTCCTCACATATATTTCTTCTTCTTCACTAATGTCTTCATCTCCTCTTCTTCCTCCTGCTCTGACCCTCCTGGTCTCTTCATCTCCTCCTCTTCCTCCTGCTCTGACCCTCCTGGTCTCTTCATCTCTCTTTTCCTTTTCCTCTTTCTGTTCGTCCTGATCACTTCTCATATGTCTTTTTGTTGTTGTTGAATCACTCCTATACTCTGGCCTGCAAGAGTCTACTTGTGAAAAGCACTGGTACAAATGCTTGTATAACTTTACACGTTAGGGCCATGTAGCCTAGCTAATATGTAGCATATCATAAATATAACATCAGAAAGTATTGATCAAGCGCACACAGGCAGCTGTGTTTGGATCCAGTTTTTACGGTAAAGGATGTATCCTGGTTTCATTGATCTGGCCTCATGGCTGTGATGTGTAGTTTACGTGGATTTAATAGTAGGCTACCGCGTAGTTTAGCAAAGTGATCGATCTCCCAGCTAACGCTGTCTGCGTAGTATTTTGTAACGTAACACCCCAAACAGCGCCCGTCTGTTAAACGCTATCGATTCAAACTAAAGCGTTTTATTAATATTTAGTTTCAAGCTCTCGTCCTTAGTAAAAACAAAACTAGTGGAAAGGGAAATGCTCCAAGGGGAAGCTGATCCATAGGTGCTGGGACAGCTCGCTCCCTCTCTGCAGCGGTGTGAGCCGCGGGCTGTGTGAACGCAGCTACGGCCCTGCATTAAACTGCGGTTTAATGCAGGGCCGTAGCTGCGTTTTTAACGGGCCTAAAATGATATTTAAAATGATTCACTTTTAACTAATGTAATGCTTGTTTTGTTGCTTGAGAAGCTTGTGGAAATAGTCTAGGTTTGTTTTAGTACAGTTTTAGGGAAACAAAAGTTAAGGGGGCAGCTGGGGGGGCAAGGCTCTACAGTGGGGGGGGCAGCTGTAGAGCCCTGGGGGTGTATGTTTAAAAAGCCTGTGGTTAGTCTATCCTTATTACAGAGAATACACATATCACAGTCTGTTTACTTATTTCATTGTTAAGTTGAATAACATTCATCCGTCTGCAACTTAGTTAATCTGCCAAAAAGGCCACATTATTAACCCGAAAGTACACAAAAAGTACACTTCAGATGCTCAAGTTCCTTGACATGCTTCACGCTTTGAAATGTCACCGATATCTGTTACGGTTCTTCAACAAAACGTTCACATGTAAGAGGTTTATCTCTCATTCAGAACAATGAACATGCTCTCCTCTCACTGATTACTGCACATCACCATGGAAACCTTTGATCTCTGGACACGTCGTTAGCTCAAATATAAACACCTGTGTCATGGAACACGATGATGTCATAACTCCAACTGACATGCTCAGAGCAGCAGACTTCAGATAATGGTTAATGGTCCTGCCCTCAACAGCTTTACGTCAATTATGGGGTGTCATCATATGCCGTTTCAATAGAAACCTTGGAGCCGCTCCACACTATTTGCGCCGCATAAGCGCATAGGTGCGCCGCATTTGAGAGGCCCCCTCTGCAAGATGAGGCCCCCTCCGCAAGGTGAGGCCCCACGCAGTCTGCGTGATCGGCCTGTAGGGAGGGACGGCCCTGGATATATCTACACTGTAGCTATGTACAAATGACAATAAAAGCCTTGAATCTTGAATTGTACAATAGTGATGCAGAAATCTGATGAATACTCTGCTAAATGCAAAAAATTAGATGCTTGGTCAGTGGTTCCTTTGTGACTATAGAGGGGGGGGGGGGCTGTAATCAGAGTGCTGTTGCTGTTTAGTAAAAAATAAAGTAACCCAAACAACAACCGTTGATGTACATTATATGCTTTAAAGAAAAGCTTATTGGATTTAAAGCCACTCTACATCTTTACTAATAGAATATCCTGCTTAATCTGAGGTCTGTACTTAATACGATTGTTGGTGGGATTAAAATATATGCACAGCTAGTTACACACATATATTTTTTGTTAATATAGAACAGATTTAATTGTACTACATTTGAATCTGCTCCGAGTTATTTTGGTCTGTGTTGCAGGTGAATGTCTGCTCCTTCTCCTGTGTGTCAAGTATAGATAAAACAGATTATAAGCGGAATGTAGTGAAGAGGAAATTGTAAAATATTTGTGTTGCTGTCTAAAAAATATTTTTATTTGGTAACAGGGCATCTACCAGAAAATGTAATAAAGACAATTTTGCAAGGAAAGATTCTCTGTTCTTTTGAAGACTGCACCCTATTGTATCAGCTATAGGTGAAATGTACCCAAACCTCTTTCTAGCACTTTTGAGTAATTTGGGACATCTGGGAGTTACATTTCCTGGAACTATTTCCAAGGGTGGCTTTACATTATTTTATATGGACTTCAAATGCAAGCTAAAGGCAGGAGGAGAGTCATTAGTCACTGTAGGTTAGCCATACAAATCACTGGCATCTTTATAATAACACTGCTCAAAAGACTGAAAAGAAGCAGAACAATTGAAGTATAAAGGAAGAGCGAATATCAGTCAAGCACTTGGATGTGATCTATTTCTGCCTTTTCTAATTAACACCGATAGTATCCGACAAATAGAGACATCAGTGTCAGCAGTGGGTGGCTACAACACACACACACATACACACACATACACACACACACACACACACACACACACACACACACACACACACACACACACACACACACACACACACACACACACACACACACACACACACACACACACACACACACACACACACACACACACACACACACACACACACACACACACACACACACACACACACACACACACACACCACACACACACACACACACACACACACACACACATTCTCGGGTCAAGAGTCATCAGATCTCTGAACAGAAAACAGAAAGCAACTGTCCGTCTATTTCCGGCACAGAGTGAGCAGCAGCATTGTGTGTGTCCTCCTCAGATTACCTCCCTCCAATAGTTCCTGTCTAAGTAGGAAAGGAAATAAATAACTTAGAAGTCAGGCTGAATGTGACAACATCTGACTAAGTCTGCCTGTTGGTATGTAATAAATGTTTTTCCATATATGTAAGGCCAGGGAGAGAAAGACGAGGGCACATCTGTAGGTGTGCAAAGATGACTCATAAGGGAATAGCAACACTGCACGAACAAGCGGTTCTTACCCCAGTGAATTCAACACATTTCAGTTCTTTTTTTTACCGTAAGGCTGAACACAGTAGATGTTAAAAATGAGCGAAGCCCAATGATATCTCAGTATTATTATCTTGGAAACATTTTTAAAATACACTTTGTTGTTTTTAAGTATTAGGTCCACCTAATGTGTTTCAGGAAGCCTACAAAAAACAGTTATATAATATTGAAAAGTGTGGGGGCATCAGGGTTATTTCAAAGTTTGTTCAGACTTAAGACTAAAATAATCAATGTAAAAAAAATGGACGCTCTTTTTAATTGACATAACCCACAAGCAATCACCTCTCTGTTCCATAGAGCAGGCTGACAATGTTTGAAAACAGAAGCTAATAATGAATAAAGATTTTCTTAATTTATGTTCCTGCATTATTGACTGGTAATTTACTTCAAAAGACAGCTACTCTGTTCAGATTTTTGTTTTTATTATTTACAGAATAAGAGCCAAATCGTCCTTGCTGCACCACCTGAATTAAAACGTTAACACTTCAGAAAGAAGAGAGCTAGGGGAGGTCAGAAAAACATGAGCACAGCACAGAAACAGTTGGGTGGTCCTGGTAGGTAATAGAGATGCAAATACACCTCAAATGTAAAAAAAAGGAAGAAAGAAAAAATAATACATTTGTAGAGAATTATGCATGACAAGAGAGGGAAGGTGAAAAACAGAGTCATACACAGAGAGATAAACAGACGTGAGTGAAAGAAAGAAGCGATAAAACAGACAACTTTGGGAAAGAAGCTGACAAGGTTATCTAGCCGAGTGTGTGCCAACAGTCCTCAGAGGACGGGCCTGTCCAAATGTCAACATAGACCGGAGCAGAGAAAATGCACTGAATAAGATATGCAGCAGAGAGATACAAGAGGTGGACAAACTGAGACAGGGCAGTGGGGTCATTCACATCAACTGAGGCCATTAATACTGCCCCAAAACACAGAGCTATTGTAATAAATACTAAAAGATGTAATGAAACTCCATTATAACAACTGTCATTAAAGTTTTTCATTTGAAATCTAAATGATAGTCTCTTTAAGCTCTGAAACATCTGAAATTCATATTGTTACCAGTGTTTGAAACATATTTTCTGCATGTATTTCTTGTATCCTTTAATTTATTAATATAATGTCATTTATATTCTACTGCTTCTATATGGAAAACATAAGAGTGTTTTTTTAGCCTCTGTGACCACAGGAAGTGCTGGATGGACTCAGTAGGATTCTTTATCACCGCCTGCAGGATTTCCTTTATTACTGCAACGACACACACAGCAGCAACAAACCTGATAAAGCACAAACAAATAAACATTTGCTTTAAAGAACAGGGACTGGAAAACAGGAAAACTTAGCTTGATACATAGCTGGTTTGAATGTGTACTTAATTAAAAAAAAGTCAAGGGTACTTTACATTTTAATGGTTGGAATCAGTTATATGACAGCCTCATCAACAGCTGACCAATTCTGTAACCTGTGCTGTAAGGATTGATGACTATGATGAACCTAGACATGCGTTTATGTTCTCATTTATCTTTTTGAACAGTAAGGCTTATGTAAGATAAACACTCCTAGCTTGCGTATGTCTACGGAAAGGGCCTCTTTATCAGCAGAGTCAGGAGGTAAAAGGGGAGAGATAACCACTGTGCGACATGTTTCATATGATGTTCCAAATGTACAACTGCAATACTGGTCTAGTGCAAAAATAACCAGCTTTTTGAAAATAACCTAGAAAGCCGTTTTTGCATAACAATGACTATAGGATTAGACACAACTGTGTCTCCAAAATTCCATAGTTACATGTAGTATATGTGCGAAATGGTAAAATCTTTGAAAACTATTTAAAAATTACAGGATGTCAAAAACACACAAAAAACACGGAATACAAGGCAAAAATAATGTGATGTAACTCCACACAACACTAAAGTACTGTGAAATGTTCACCTTTTTAATTTAGAAATATAATAAACACAACCAACGTCATGCTATGTAGAACTGTCACATAATCCAAAACAGTTATCTGACCTTTATATTTAAATATATACTGTATTGCATCCCTAAATAAGGCATTACACCGCTGTGCTTTCACAATCACAAAAGGTTAAAATAAAGTTTAAAGCCCTTAGCCACCATAATTTCAAAGAATGATACAGTAGTTGGGCTGAGACACTATAAGGGAGAGAAATGTAGAACTTAAAAGCCACTTTAAGCAAAATTATTTCACAAGTCCAAGAATATATTTGTGTTTAAATGCTCTTGAGGGATCCCCTTTATGTTGAGAAAAGGTCTGCCAGTTATCTATTCTTCATATGCCATTATTACAGTTATTTGCCTGGATGTGGACGTGCACTGCTGAGTGAGTGGTCAGCAAACCTAGTCTAGTAAAATGAAGAGGTGGTTGGTGGTTGCAGGAAGTGGTTCAGGCATACAGAGGCTGGTAGCCACTCCTCCGGTTGCCAGTTTTACAGGTGATCACACACACGCTCAGCATGCCAAAGAACTGCAACGGGAAACATAAAGACAATCAGACTCATTCGCTTCAAGTGTATTCTGGAGGTCCAACTGTTATGTCATTGGACAAGCTCAAGTACCGTAATTGCTATATTTTAACTATTTCTTAACATATCACACAGTTAGAGCTTAGATAGCAATTTGCATTGTGATAACAGTGAGTGGTATTTAAAGTAAAGCTCTTTCACAGCTGCTGAACTGTATGTGACCGTCTTTACCTTGATGATGGCGAAGCCCAGAATGACAAGCATGGCGTAACTCAAGACGTCCTGCAGGAGCTGACCCAGCTTCACCTCACAGCCCTGAAACACATGCAAGTACAGTGAGTGATCACATCCTGGACACACACTTTGTAAAACGTCTGCCTGAAATATTGCCTCAGAGGTGGGCGATAATAATAATACAAATAAAATCATTCCATAAAAGATCATTATCACCGTCTACAAATCGTTTTAAAGTGGCAGATGGAAAAACATTAATGCAGTTATAACAAATATACCGCTTCTGTAAGATGTACCTGTGTGTTCAGCAGGTCTGGTTGGTCCATTCTGCCTGGGCACTGCGATGTTCTGTTTTTACAGCAGGACAGAGGCACGGTGTTGTTGTGGCTGTTAGACCAGGTGGTGTTGGACCAGCTGGTGTAATTCATGACACCACAGCACTGCAACTGCAGAGAGAGAAAGTGAACATTCAAGAGATAAGGTATTTAATTTAAGTTAAATACAAAGAACAGGAAAGCTTGACACTATATCATCAACCTTATGTCTGAGCGAGTAATGGTACAGAGGGGATGTGTGAAGACCTTTTTTCTCATTAGGTCGGCTTCATTTTTGTGATCATACAACGTGACATCGATATACAATACTAATACAAATACATCACCATACTAAGATTGTGCTGTTATGGTTTTGAGATGGCCTTTTTCTTAAAAATCCAGCAAGAAAAAAAAGGGGCAAATTGAAGAACAAGAGAAGGAAACAAAAGCAAGCATGCAAGATAGAGTGCAAGCAAAACAGGAAGAGGTTAAAGAGAATGAAAATACAACTAAGAAAAAGCTAAGCTAAATATACACAGTAGAATATAACACCAACCTGAGTCTGCAGGTAGTCAACAGCTTTGGTCTCAGTAGTCTGTCCATCATAATGCACGAAGACTTCACTCATAGAGCGCTCCAGGTCTGCGTTTATCTGGACACACACAGACACAAGGTTGGTGGCCATGTTCAGAAGTAACATCGCAAATTTAAAATAGAGATGAAATTCTGAGTATAGTTTACTGTCAGCACCCAGCATTGTGTGACGCGATCTGTGACTTACCTTGCCTTTGTAGATAAAGCTCAACACCAGAGCAGCCACTTCAGCGGCAAAGATCGCCATGATGATCAGAAAAAACTGGAGGGGGAGAAGATGAAAGAAGGTGTGATGAATATAAGTGGGTAAAAAAGAGTGATAGGATCAACAAAAGCTAAAATGGTAGCTAACATTATAATAAGTGTGCCTTCTGACACTAAAGCTAAGCAGGCCGTTGAAGAGCCTGACAAACAAACGTGTGTCCGTGAAGAGAGAGCACTTACAAAGCTGAGTCCGACTTTGGACTCCCGGAGTGTAGCACAGCATCCAACCAGGCCAAAAATAAACATCACCACGCTGATGCCGATGATAATAGCGGCTGGGACCAACGTGTACTTGTCCTGGATGAAACTGTTAAAGTTGTCATAGCTCTTGATTATATGGGCTCCGACGTAGGCCAACACCACTCCTGCAGCCTGCGGGGAAACATGTAACACATCAAGGTGGGGAGCAAAAACACTTAACATGCATATCAGAATGGTTCCTTATCACATATGATCACTAACAAGTCATTTAAGAGTAAGCTAAACTAATGTAAGATTTATTTATTATTTAATTGAATTATTCCTAGACCCTTTTTTTCTATGTTTGATATTGAGTAGTTGGTATTCCGGGAATAGTACAACCTCAGTATACTCAGACTAAGCTACTGCACACACAATGTCCTGCAGAAACAAACACTTTGATAGAATTCAAGTGATTAGTGACATAATGTGTGTTTCTAAGATGATAATGATGCTTTAGATGAGAGTGCCAGCTGAAAAACTGCCAACATCTAAAAAGAAGAAACCTTCCCTTCATGAATAGCGATATAACATTTTAGTTTTTAGTTTAGTTTGATTCTATCATCACAACATGGTTAGTTAAAGAAAAACAGGAAGCAGAACAGCTTGGATCAGCCCTTTGTTCAAACTTCAAACATTATAACAAATAAAATAGATCTGTTTTGCCTTTATTATCTGCTGGGGTCTCATGTGATGAACACCCGATGTGAAAGTCATTGATGGTCTTTCAGATGTGGATTAGGCATTAGGTCACACCATAATCATGGCTTTTCTTCAAGTCATGCTTGAGCAGTGAGCTAATCAATCATAAGACTGTACATGGGCCAATTGTGTCCAGACTGTACTGCAGTATCACATTGGGTGTGTAAAACTGGTTTCTAATGTTATTGTAGAATAACACAATCTGGTCTAAAAAGAAAAGTTGAGAAGGTCAATAGGAAACAAAAACTTCAAGAACAGAGAATGTAAATAAAAAATCAATGGCTCTAAAGTATTAATCTCATCACCAGCACTCTTCACTTCCCTTTGCCCTTTGAAACCCTTTATCAGATTAAATCCAGACTCAGGGATGAAAAAAAGCCAGCAGTATGGGAGAAATTGCAAAAAACTAAATCTGCTGAGTGACGAATACTATATCGTAAATAACACTTCAAAATCTCAACTGAAATTAACTATAAAATATAGCTGCTTTTATACAGAGCAGGAAGATGAGAATATATAACATTTCCTTAGATAGATGGACATTTTCTGGCGAAAAGACGTTGCAACTGCTTTATGCTGAAAGTCAAAAATCCCCTGCATGTGCCATTCTCAGTATCACTTCCCCTGCAATAACTTGGGTTAAAGATTGTGTACTTGTCTTTGTTTCTAGCAACTGAACATGTGTGTTTTGTGTGGCCTAACAATCATTCAACCTCCACTTCGGCCTCATGACTCACTGCTCCTAATCACCCCACAGTCACGAGATCGCTGTGGGGTAGTTTCTCTACCCCTTCCCCCCCCTCCACCACTCACCCCTAATCTTTTCAGAAATTCTGATCTTGTTTCTAAGAAGCAGCACAAAGAGGATTATACAACGTATAGCCTCCTTTCTGGAATGTGAGACACCTCTGAGGCTTGATTGTAGCTTGACAAATGGACTAGAACGGTCTCAAAGATCACAAAAAAAAACGTGTGGGGGGGGGGGGGGAGATTGGTAGCCTACAGTGTTCAGCTGCATTGTATAATTCTGTAAAGACAGACCTACCAGTGGTTTGATTTTTGTTTTCAAAGGAAATAAAATCCTCAGAAAGCGTCCATTATGCCCACATTCATCTTGTTCCAAATGTGTGCTTGCTCATAGTTTAAAGCAGCACTGCTGATAACCTTTATTCAGTAATCAGATCAGTGATGATAGTGAAGCTGATTATGAAAGCAATGACACCAGAAACAACCAAACAAAAAACACTCTTCTTGTTGTTGACCGAGATAAACCATGCTTCTGTTTCCCTTTCAAGTACACACACAGGCCAGTTCTCTGACTCAATAATCAAATTACCTAGACATCTGCGACGGACAGGCACTAAAGTGTACTGGTTCCCCTCAACACGCATTTCCTCTGTAGACAGAGGAGAGCTGACAGCTGGGCAGAGACATGGTGAATATGATGATCCAACAAGATATGCAAACTTTGAAAATGAGTCAGAGTTCCAGCTGACTGGCTGGCTGGTTGACATTATTACGGAAAATCTTGTCAGTAGGCCTACTCTCTGGAACTATTACTAATATCCTTTAAGGAATCATGTGACTTCATAAAAAATTACCTACGCAGATGTGAACCGCATTAGGATACAGTACTACAAATGAGGAAGTAGTTTAATGATGGCGGCTGCAGTGGCTAGAAAACGGGCTACCAGGATGCCTACCCAGTCACAACTCTGATTTGTAGGATGGAAACCTTAAAGCGCACAGGAGGAACTGACTAGGCTACTAAATAATAACAAATAGCGATGTTTGACAGAGGGCAAAAAACATAATGTCGCAAAGCCAATAAACTGGTATATTAACTCAAATGTAAGCAGGTGGATATAATTCAGCGCCTTACCCAGAATACCAGGCTGAGGAAGAGCAGGACGGTCTTGGAGGTGAAGATCCCGCAGTCCATGTTGAGCGACGGAGGTGCAGAGAGTGAAGGAAGGCTGGGAGTCCGGGTACACTTTTTATCTCGCAGGGCACCGAGCTGCTTCTCCTGATGTTTTGGTCACAAGTTTCCTCGCTCTGTCTGGCTGCAGTGACTCTGATCACATGGTCACATGCTTCGGGGAGGAGAGCGAGGCAACACAACCGGTTCTCCCTGCAGGGAGGCTGCGTCACACCAGAGGGGAACAGTCCCGCACAGAAATATAGCCTAAAACCAAATAATGTTCAGTAAGGTAATGTGATAATTAAAACTGAATGTATTGTTTAGTATTGCTGTTTTTTTAATTGTGGTTTGAGCACTTGGAAAACATATTGAGTAACATGTTCATATTGAGTATAGGCTAACAACATGTTGATCTTGTCTTTATCTCAATTAATATGCTTTAGGATTTACTTCAATGTGAACATATTTTAATCCAGTTTTTGGAAATAAGACTATGCACCCCCCACTTAGATTTTATTTGTGTAGTTCTTCTGAAGTCAATAATGAGGCTGTCATGAATCTGTAAACTCATTCAAACGGATCCTCAGCAGTTAACAGCAAAGTCCCAAATATCCCTTGGCCCTTTTGAAACAGAAAGAGAGTAGCCTACTATTGAGATACAGCACAGGGGACCTTAGGCTAATAAACAATGTTGGTTGTATGTTATGCCTCAGCTGAATTACAGTACAAGGGGTTAATAATAGTAATGATTAAATCCAATTACATGTTGATCTGGAGTGAGGAGCACATTATAAAGGAACATCTTCTCTTGGGAACATGAGGGCACTTTTTAAAATCACAACACTTTAACAGTTTCGGTTATTCTTTGCTTAAGGAAGTACAAGTTCGGCTTTAATCAAAGAGACAGTCAAAACAAAATCCATCCAATCTGTAGAGTATGATAATGAAGGTAAACTAGGGTGACCAGATGTCCCGCTTTGCGCGGGACTGCACAGCATTTTCACGATTTTTGGTAGGTCCCGCAAATTGAGACGATGTCCCGCATATTTCATTTTGATAGGCTAAAACGCTTTTCTATTATCCAATGGCTGTTGAGAAAGCAGGGAAGGCTATCATCACGGGGGTGTATTTGCTGTCAATCAAACTGTAACACACGGCGGGTGCTGGTCAAGTGTTAACCAATGAGAGTAACTCACTCACACACACCCCCCCGCGGCCCCGCCAAACAACAACAACAACAACGAAAGTCAGTCAATAACGCAGGCGACGCAGCAGGTTATGGAAAATGGAGGAAACTGAAACTACACCTAACGGCCCGTCCACACAGCAGCTTTAGACGATTCGTCCACCGCTTCCAACGCTTCTCTGCCAGTTCTCTGCCCATTGACTTTGAATGGGGATGACGTCACTTTCCCTCGCTTGTCGCCGAACTGCATTGTGGGGGGGCGAGGCGAAGATTTCCAGGATGTTCAGCAGTTGAACAATGTTCAACTTTTGAGGCTGAGCTGGAAGTGACAGCCAATCAGATCCGTTTATGCAAATCTGACAGTTCAAGCGCTAGCCAATCAAACCGCGTGCAAGCTGGGAGAACCAGACCCGCAGTTCATTTCTATATTCCACAAAAATGGAGGAGAACTTAGTTATTGCGGTAGCAAATCACCCGGTTCTTTATGACCAGTCCCTATTTACTTACCGGGATACAAACCGGAGGAACCAGGCATGGAGGGAGGTGGCAGAGGCAGTGGGTGAAACTGGTAGGTTTTCGCTTGTTTGGGGATTTTATATCCAGTTTACTTCGTTGCTAGTTTACTTCGTTGCTAGCAAGCATAGACAGTATCATTAGCCAGCATGGAATGTAGCATAAAATAGCACCATAAACATTAATCTCATAAATGTTCAAAATGTTCAAAAAATAAATGTTCATCATAGCCCTTCCCACGCTTTACCTCTGCCACATCATAGACTATATCTGCATCACATTAATGCACACAATGTCATATTCCTTTATGCACATATTCTGATTTCACATTTCTTAGTTTATATGCAAAAATGCATTCATAGCATTCTATTTCCATGTAAATTACTGCTTTATGTAATTGTTATCTTATTGCAATTTAACTGTATTTTATTACGGTGTAAAACATTGTGTTTTATATTAGATTTCTTGTTTTTTATATATGCACCATGACATCAAGTCAAATTCCTATTATGTGCAACCTACCTGGCAATAAACCTGTTTCTGATTTTGATTCTGATAAGTGTGACAAAACCTTTTATGCAATTGACAGTGATAAAGGGATTAGGTTTTCATTAATGGAGGAATAATTTTCGTAAATTAAAGAAATTAACTGTATTCTTTCATTTCATTTTATTAGACGAAGTGTGCAGAAAGAAATGGAAGACACTGAGGGACAAGTACAGGAAGGAGAAACAAATTGAAAAGGAGGGGAAAAGAAGCGGTGCAGGGTCTTCGGGGGGACATAAGCCCTGGCATCTCGCGGCAGTCATGACTTTTTTAAACCCATTCATGATTGACCGTGAGACGTCCAGCAATGTCCCCCGGCAGAACTGGAGAGCCTGGACTGGTCAGATGAGCTCAGTGGTACACAAGTTGAAGAAACATGGCTTGGTTTCAAAAACAAATTCTCTGCAATACTCAATGATTTGGCCCCCCTAAGAACAACCAGGGTAAAAAAAATCGCGCTGAGCCGTGGATGCACTCCGGCATACTGACCGCCATGAAAACCAGAGACAAAAAATGCTCTGAGTTTCATAAAAGTCAGTCAATGCTTTCCAAAAGCACGAGCAGTGAACTCCAGGCCCACGTGACTGAACTCAAAATTGAAAGAAACAGACTAAGAAATGACGTAAGCTCCATGATCAAAACTGCCAAAAAGAATTTCATCAATGTCAAAACTGAGGAAAACAAAAATAAACCCCGTGAACTTTGGAAATTACTCAATAACCAGCTTGGCTGCAGTAAAAAACTCAAAACGAGATTTTCTAACTTAAACATAAAGACAGATAACAGGCTCATCACAGACAAACTGGATGTGGCCAAGTACTTGAACATTTTTTTCACAAACATAGCCACAACTCTTGTAAATAAATTACCCTCCCACTCAGGGCTTTTTGGAGTAGATCACATCATGACCTACTACAAAAACCTAGGGGTACGCAAAGATGATTTCAGTCTATCAAGGGTAACAACAGCAGAGGTACTCATTAAACTGAGTGCCCTCCAACCTAACAAGGCCACGACAATATCCCCTCCAAATTCCTCAGAGACACAGCAACCGCCATCTCACCAGTCATAGCTCACATAATTAACCTCTCCATAAAACAGGGAAAAGTACCCAAAGACTTCAAAATTGCAAGAGTAACCCCCCTGCACAAAAAGGGCAGCAAATTGGACCCAGGCAACTACCGCCCTGTTTCTATACTTACCTCCATCTCGAAAGTCATGGAAAAAATAGTATATGAACAGGTCGAAAAGTACCTCGCGGAAAAGAAACTAATCTATGAATTTCAATCTGGCTTTAGAACATCCCACTCCACTGACACATGCCTTCTTTATTTGAGCGACCACATCAAACAAGAGGTGGACGAGGGCAAGTACTGCGGCATGGTGATGCTGGACCTACAAAAGGCTTTCGACACTGTCAATCACCCCATTCTGATTGACAAGCTAAAAGCAATTGGTTTTGATAAACTATCGGTGAGCTGGATGCAATCCTACCTGGAGGGGAGAGAACAGATGGTGGAGGTAAACGGTACTCTGTCCCCCCCCCCTCCCAGTGAGCTGTGGTGTTCCACAAGGAAGCATATTAGGTCCGTTACTGTTCCTAATTTATGTAAATGACATGTCATCAGCATGTGACTGCAACTTGTTCCTGTTCGCGGACGACTCAGCCCTGCTGGTCTCTGACAGGAGCAGGTTCCAGGTTGAAAAAACCCTCAGCTCCGAGCTCGGCAGAATCTGCACCTGGCTCGCCGATAATAAATTATCATTACACCTGGGTAAAACAGAGTCCATTCTCTTCGGTTCGAAACATAATCTCAGCAAATCCGACGACTTCTCAGTTGCAGTGGGCGACATTATTGTCACAAGTAAGAAGGAAATTACATACCTAGGATCTATTCTTGAGGCAAACCTCTCCTGTGACAAAATGGCATCCAATGTAATAAAAAAAGTCAATCAAAGAACTAGATTCCTATACCGGATCTCCTCTCTGGTAAACAAAAACACCCTGAAAACTCTGGCAGGAGCACTCATTCAAGGGTACTATGACTATGCTTGCACGTCATGGTACCATAGCACCTCCAAGGCGCTAAAAATAAAACTTCAAACATCGCAAAATAAACTGGTCAGACTACTGCTTGACCTTTCATCTAGAACCCACCTCACCTCTGCCCACTTTGACAACCTAGGATGGCTTAGAGTAGACGACAGAGTACAGCTACTTGCAATGGGCCTGGTCTACAAGATCCACTACACCTCTATGGTACCCATGTACATGTCAAAATTCTTCCCAAAGGTCAAGGAATACCATGATCATAACACCAGAGGGAGCTCCACAAATCATGTGAAACCCAGATTTGGCACAAAAAAGGGGGAATACACGTTTCGCAATTATGCCACATCAAGGTGGAACGCTCTTCCCACAACTATAAAGGAAAGTAAAACTATACTTACCTTAAAAACCTCTCTTAAAGAGCACCTTCGGGGGAGAGCATTGCAAAACTGGCCCCGGTAATGGTACAAATCTCAACCTGTCGTTCAATGGACAGCTTCCCCCCCCCCCATCTATGTATATACTTGCATTTTAGACTCTGTTACTAACTGTATATCTGTAGACTTGGTATGTCTTAAATGTCCGGTTAGGATGTATTAGAACGAAATCTAAAATGAAAATTGTAAACAAGCAATCTGTATGTAAAAAAACCACCTGTATGTAAATTGTAAATAAGCCATCTGTATGTCAAATATGTCTTATATGTCTTAAATGACATGATGAATTGGAAATGGGGGACCCTGATGTAAACAAGACGAAAGTCTTTCTCTGGTCTGCATCCCCTTAACAATTGTATGTTTTGAGCTGTACTGTACTGTACCCAATATACAAGCTGTTAATAAACTTTTCAATCAATCAATCAATCAACCCTTCCTCCATCCACCCTGGTGCCAGAGGAAGAGAGCCAGGAAAGCCAGCCAGCCAGTCAGCAAGTCCA